CCCTGAAGTTTTTAACTCATATTACTTAGACTCCTTAAGTTTAAAATATTATACTTAGACAAAAATATTTCAATCAAAAATAAAATATCAAATATTTTAAATTTTACAATTAAAATTCATGTTCTATTGTATTATTCACTTATTGTGATTCAATTATTTATTTGTTATTATTCTTTTTTTTTTACTCAGATGTTATGATTCACTTGTTGTGTCATTAAATTTATTATTGTTCACTTATTGTTATTCAATTATTTATTAGTTATTATTTTTTGATAAGATTTTATTATTTAATTATTAGTTTGACGTGTAGATATCAAACAGTTAATTTCAATGGATATCAAACAGTGCACCATACAGTTTTCGGTTTTTAGACTAAGACTCCAACTTTTGCAGCACCAGGTTAACTGGATTTAACATTGATCACTCTCCCTCCCGTTTGCTATTCCCAATATTTACTCTAATTTCACTAACAAAATGTACTTTCAACAAAAAACTTGAAGTTATTCAAATTTGAGTAAATAGACAAGGAGCAAATGTCAAATGGACCTACCATCGAGTGACCCACTCCAGTGAGATATTGGTCGAATTTTTTACTTGGAGGTTGAAGGTTTGAATTTTAGAGTCTATATTAAGGCTCGATAGTTGGACGATATGCTAGCCTAACTAAGTTCGTTCCAAAGAGAAATAATTAGTACGGTTAAGAGTCTCAAAATTCCACCAGTGAAAGCCTATCTAGATGGTCTATAAGCTTTCTCCTTTGCCCCATCCCTATTTTACTTGGCAAAAAAAAAATGTTACATGAACTGAATTTACTAACTTGATCAATTATTATTATTAATTTAACCATGGATCTCAATATTTTTAATACAAGAAACATTTCTCATGGGGAAGTCTGGTTGACTGTTGACTTCTTGTAAAACCCAAAGCAGGAAACCTATGGGCTTCTCTCTCGGATGCGGATCCTCTGCTGTTCGGAAGGAACAGCATAGCCTGCTGCTCGGAAGAAACGGCATCGTTTGGTGCCTTTTTCAAAAAACCAGTCTGACCCAAAAAAAACAAAAAAAGCCCTAAAACCAATCAGACCCATAAAAAAAAAAGAAAAAAAGCCCCATCAACACTAAAACAAGCTTCAATGTATTTTTTTTTTTTAAGTTTTTTGAACAGTATGTTACATGGAGAAGGTGACGATAAGGTTCGAACCCACGATCAATATAAATTAACAACAAACCAAAACATTACAATTAAACCATATCACAAAATTTAATAATGATAAAAAAAATCAACAAAACAATCGAAGATTCAAAATTTTAAAATTTAAATTTCAGTCAAGAAAAATCCAANAAACAACTTTTTATTTTGTACTTGGACTGATCAGAAATGCAAAAATGCAAAAAGAGAGATAACAAATGTAGTAGTATGCATAAATTTAATTTCTGTCTTTTGTTATTGAAAATGGCTATAGAGGAGTCCTTTTATAGACCCCCCTTTATGTCTATTCAGATTGCCTGAAAAGGTATGAGACACCATTTTTTGTTGTGCTTGTTCGGATTAAGAGACACATTGTTAATTTAAAATGTAATGAAAAGAGAAAGATACCTCTGAAGTGTGAACACACACAATTCAAATAGTGCCAAATTAAAAAATAACATATAGGAATTTTGAATTTCGATTGGAAGACTAAGTACGATTTGCATTTGGACCCGTTTGGTCTGGCCCACAACCATTACCACACTAAATAAATATTTAGCAAAAAGATAGGATCTTGTTCACCCAAGCCTAAGCCTAGCCGTGCTAGGCAGCTTGCGAACGTGTGTTCGCTGCACTCACAAAAGTATGGTACCCCTTAGGGTCCAACCCATGAACCCAACTAAGAGTATATTAACTGACCAAATTTTTAGTTTCCTACTAATGTGGGTCAAGCCTTAACACTACATCATATCATTCTTAGTTTTTTCTATCAATTCAAGTGAGTCACTTTAAGACATAATTTCTCATTCAATACTTAATAGTTTTGAATAAATAAATATACCACGTTAATTTCATTGCGGAGAACTGGGGTAGCCCAACCCAATTTGGGGCCCTAGGTGAAAATGTTATACGAGTATTTATTCAGTAATAATAGTAATATTAAATACTTATTAAAACATGTTTATTTACAAATTATTTGTTTTGTCTTTTGTGATATAACATACTAATTCAAATTTTACAAATACAAATTGTGTTAATCAAAGTCAAGTACGAAAATCAAATACAATGATACATATTATTTGTTTAAAATAAAAGAGAAACATAATTAAAAACTATGTTGACTAGTAAAATAATTTTTTTCCTAAACGTATATAAAAATAGGAATTTATACAAATTGAGTAGTCCTAAAATAATTGAGATATTATAGATAAAAAGACTTATTTTAAATAAAAAAATTTAGTAAGATAATTATGGTTAATTAATTTGAGATAACTAGTACACCACTTCTACTAACTCTATTTTCACTATATTGTGCTTTGTAAACAAAGTTATTAAAATATGACATCAAATTTAACTTACAAAAATGTAAAATTATTATTCGTATCTATTATACGATAGACAATTGATTTTAATTATAAGACTGCAAAGTGATAATACATAGAATATAAATATTGGGCGAGATAAAAAAATAAGTTAAACTTTAGGACCCTAAATTTTTTTGAAAAAACTTCTAAAAATTTTACAATAATACTAGTTGCACTTAATTTGAAGACCAAATACATTATATAAATAGTGAATTTTGTTTAAACTTAACACTCCCTATTAATTCAATGATTAAAATATATTGAGTATTTAAATTAAAATTTTAATTATTAGTCATAACACGTGCCTGAAAACACAATGAAACATAAGATTCTAACGTTCAAAAAATTGATCACACTATACCAAATTTAAAATTAATTTTTTGGCTTGATAATTAAAATTTAAATTCTTTTAGGAAGAATTACACCTAGACTCCATGAGATTTGTCATTTAATCTTTCAGACTCTTAAAGCTTATACGCTCGGAACACTTAGACCGCAGAACACTTAGACCCTATTGTATAATAAATTATATCAAAACCCCCTGAAGTTTTTAACTCATATTACTTAGACTCCTTAAGTTTAAAATATTATACTTAGACAAAAATATTTCAACCAAAAATAAAATATCAAATATTTTAAATTTTACAATTAAAATTCATGTTCTATTGTATTATTCACTTATTGTGATTCAATTATTTATTTGTTATTATTCTTTTTTTTTTACTCAGATGTTATGATTCACTTGTTGTGTCATTAAATTTATTATTGTTCACTTATTGTTATTCAATTATTTATTAGTTATTATTTTTTGATAAGATTTTATTATTTAATTATTAGTTTGACGTGTAGATATCAAACAGTTAATTTCAATGGATATCAAACAGTGCACCATACAGTTTTCGGTTTTTAGACTAAGACTCCAACTTTTGCAGCACCAGGTTAACTGGATTTAACATTGATCACTCTCCCTCCCGTTTGCTATTCCCAATATTTACTCTAATTTCACTAACAAAATGTACTTTCAACAAAAAACTTGAAGTTATTCAAATTTGAGTAAATAGACAAGGAGCAAATGTCAAATGGACCTACCATCGAGTGACCCACTCCAGTGAGATATTGGTCGAATTTTTTACTTGGAGGTTGAAGGTTTGAATTTTAGAGTCTATATTAAGGCTCGATAGTTGGACGATATGCTAGCCTAACTAAGTTCGTTCCAAAGAGAAATAATTAGTACGGTTAAGAGTCTCAAAATTCCACCAGTGAAAGCCTATCTAGATGGTCTATAAGCTTTCTCCTTTGCCCCATCCCTATTTTACTTGGCAAAAAAAAAATGTTACATGAACTGAATTTACTAACTTGATCAATTATTATTATTAATTTAACCATGGATCTCAATATTTTTAATACAAGAAACATTTCTCATGGGGAAGTCTGGTTGACTGTTGACTTCTTGTAAAACCCAAAGCAGGAAACCTATGGGCTTCTCTCTCGGATGCGGATCCTCTGCTGTTCGGAAGGAACAGCATAGCCTGCTGCTCGGAAGAAACGGCATCGTTTGGTGCCTTTTTCAAAAAACCAGTCTGACCCAAAAAAAACAAAAAAAGCCCTAAAACCAATCAGACCCATAAAACAAAAAAAAAAAAAAAAAGCCCCCATCAACACTAAAACAAGCTTCAATGTATTTTTTTTTTAAAAGTTTTTTGAACAGTATGTTACATGGAGAAGGTGGCGATAAGGTTCGAACCCACGATCAATATAAATTAACAACAAACCAAAACATTACAATTAAACCATATCACAAAATTTAATAATGATAAAAAAAATCAACAAAACAATCGAAGATTCAAAATTTTAAAATTTAAATTTCAGTCAAGAAAAATCCAACTAAAAAATTTTAAATTTGTGGGTGTGTATGTATATTCATTTATATGTGTGTGTGTGTGTGTGTGTTTATAGAGATATCCACTTAAAAATATTTGAAATGAACATAAAAATATCTGAAATGGACGAGAAGTGAATTGCAAAACAAGAATCGCAAAACCAAGAATTGAAGAAGTCATGGTTTGTTTTTAGCGTAGGAGTGCGCCAAGAATGGCACCAAATTACTGTTTTTGGGACTGTTCAAGAACAAAATGGAACGGTGCCGTTTAACAAAAAAAAAAAAAAAAACAGAAACAAAGGCAAACGCCGTTGTTTTAACCGAACAACATGCTGTGCTTTTCATTAGGGCTTTTTTTATATTTTTTATGGGTCTGATTGGTTTTAGGGTTTTTTTTGTTTTTTTTGGGTCTGACTGGTTTTTTAAAAAAGGCACCAAACGGTGCCGTTTCTTCCAAACAGCAGGCTGGGCTGTTCCTTCCGAACAGCAAAGGATCCGCATCCCTCTCAAAACTGCAAGAGAACACTACTACCTAACCAGAGGGCTTCTCTCTCACTCTTTCACCATTCATGGACTCTCCAAGGCACACATGCTTGAAACTAGAAGTCCCCAACACCTCCGAACCCGAACAAACCGAATCCATCTTCGTTAAAGGCACATGGTTCGCCTCTCGCTTCCATCTCTCCATCACCAACGGCCTCGACGCTTGGATTTGCAACGGTGCGAGCATTTTTTATTCAAATTACCGATAAATTGTGTTTCGGAAGATAAAATATTGATAAAATTTGTTTCTAAAGTGTTTGAAAATTTTTAGGATCGGAAGATGATGTTGGAGAGAGATCGTATCAGTGGGACCAACCCGTGTCGGAATACATTGAGTTGGCCGAGCGTTATCTAGGGTTTCAACAGCCCGGTTCGGTTTATGGGTTCTTCGATGCTGGAAATGGGGATAGAAGAGTCAGTTTTCCTTTATTTATCCTATTATTTATTGGTATTTGTTCATTTGTATTTAGATAGGTTCATCACTCATGTATGTTGTTGTATGTGCACAAAGGGAATTTTGGAATAAAAGTTGTTATTCGGATCGATTTGGGTAAAATTGGGTATTTCTTCTGAGTTCAATTATTGTAATTGTACCATCGATGATAATATTTGTTATGGAATACAGTAATGTTGTTGACTTTTCCTTATCAATTAACATTGTGATCACAATTGTTCCATGTTAGTGGCTCACTAACCAATGATATACGTGAGTTCGTTAGAAAAGGTTGGGAAGAGTAGCATTTCTCTTTGCAATCTGAATTCTGTTCCATAGTTTTGATGTTCCTTTGAAGTTACAAAATTATGTATGTAGTAGTTTTTCTGGTGTAAACAGATACATGTAGGATAAAAAGTTGATTAGAACTTGTGCTAATTTAATTAGGTGCAATTGACATGTAGTTTTTGGTGATGCTAAATTTAGGAGGCCATTGTCAGTGTAGGTCCCAACAATTTATGGTGTCAGGGTTTTGGGGTGAGTGACGAGGGAAATACGTAGAAACCTAACCTAACTTTTGGCATATTTGCTTAGATTTATGCTCTCATGCTTGTTAACCCGAGGCTTCACTATTTCACCAAGCAATGACCCTAATGTTGGTAATTCCAAATTCCTAATTGAAATTTTGAATGCAATTACTACTTGATGCTTCATGCTTGTATTGCTATGCCTATAGGTTTTGTATAGGGTAGAAGTTCCACGTATTTGTCACAAAGCTTAGTTCATTATGATGATTGCAAAGCAGCAAATGTAAATTTTCTTGCAATCAAATGTAAATTTTCTTTTCCTTTTTTTTGGGATCTGATTTGTTCTTTTATTTTCTGGTGCAATGTTTTGCAGTTATCATGGACACTTCATAAAGAAGGGACTAAGCTTGAGTGGTGATGGAAATGTCAACTGTCGCCTAACAGGAAGGAAACTACAGCTGGAATTTTGGACTTTCTTATGGATGCAAATATCCAACTAAGTGTAAGATTATTAATTATCGTTTAGTTGTCGTAAGCAATGTAACTTAGATGCAATGCTCTCCAACTTGCCCCCATTAATGTAACGGTAGTTGGGGAAAGAAATTACCTGCTAACTCTAAGCTTCGAGTAAGCACATTCGCAAATGAACAAATAAACTCCCAAGATATCATGGAGCATTAAGTGCTTGCATCCAACATGTAGCTTCTCATTGACTTTAGTAGTTCTCAGCGTGATACCCAGTGTACCCATGGTTGAACTCCATGTATTTGTTCGTGGTCTCATATTGGCTTTGATAATTTAGCACCTAACTTGGTAGTGCATTGCCTTGTGCCTGTGATGATATGATGCTGATTTATGGAAATTGTTGTTGCTATACGCAGTTTGAAGTTTCTTCTTGTTTATTGAGCTATATAAGTTAATATGATGCTGGAATTGGGTATGAGCTGACAATTTTCACTTTATGTAAATAGGAGGAAGTTGTAAGTAAAGCCCAATCATGTGAGAAGCTAAAAGTGGAGGCTGAAAAGTGTTTGGCACAAAGTGAAAGATTCAGCAACGAGAAGGTAGAATTTGAATCTGCAATCTATGCAAAGGCACGTGTCTTCTAACCCAATGCCTTTAATATTCTCATTGTTGATTTTGCAAGTGGTGCTTGGTGCATAACCATCATGTAAGTCATCTTTCACCTCAATATTCTTGTTTTGGTAAAGTTGTCAGAAAAAGAATGTTCTTTACTCCCCGTTTCACCTTATCTGCATTTCTGCCACGCCTTTTGTCACCAAAACCATGGCCTACCATCACCATGAGTTAAGTAATTGCTGGGTTGTTATTTTCTTTTCTCCAAGAGTGAAAGAGGAAAATTGGATAGTGGAGAGGATTTTGTGAGAAAAAATGTGTTTCTTTATGAGAATTTTTTTTTTGAAAGAAGAGGGAGGTTGAGAGAGAGAGGGGTTTTGAAAAGACATAGAGATATGATTTAAGTGTCGTTTTCAAAGAGAGATTTTCTATAAACAACTTTTTTTTTCTCTTGAGATATTGGTTTTTAAATAGAAATATTTTCTTTGTTTTTTGCTGGCCAAGTTTGACCACCACATATGCAATTGATATCGATTTCTAAATTAGCCATTATTCATAAGGACATGCATGTGACCGTTTTTGTCTAAAAACCTAACACATTAACAGGGAAGGGACACATTGCTCTTCTAGGTGAAGTTTGAGGACAAAAACAGAGAAATAAATGAAGTTTAGGGCTAATTTGGAACGAGTGCCAAAGCTTAGTGATGTAGATCGTATTAGGGAAAAATTAGGGATGAGAAGGGAAGAAGAAAGGGATGAGAAAAGAAGAAGAAGGAGATGAGAATAGAGAGAAATTTAAAAATAAGATTCAATATTAATAATCAATAATCAAAGTTTAGTCCCTCAACAAATATGTATCCTCTATATATATAAGGTATACACAAATCCTATATATATAAGGAGATCACAAACCCTAAAATAAATAAATAATCAAAATGACAATTAAACCCTTAAAAGTTAAAAGAAATTACTTAAAGCTAAATATTAAAAATATCTAAATAACTATCATAATTAATTTATAATATCTATCCAATTTCTACACGATCCCCATCATTCTCCTCGGGTTGAAAAAAATTCTCCTTCGGAGAGTCTTCAAAGTAGAAGTACCCTAAGAGAGTAGGATGAAGATGATATAATGCCTCATCTAGAATGAAAGAACCATCGACTTCTTTCCATCGACCAGGATAAATGCAAGAATCTCCATCTGTATGAACACCTGCGAATAAAATAGAAGGCTCTGGAGTACCTCGATTAAGTAGTATGTCCTCCTAATAAAAATCTGGACTAATACTAGCATTCAATGAAAAATTAAGCAAATAAGAATTAGATCCAAACTCAAGAATAGCAAAATAATTTCTATTAGATTTGAACAACTGACATTCAACGGGACAAGACATCAATGACAAAGGAGTAATTATAACACCCTGATGTTGAAAATAAGAAAGTATAGATTCAATTGAATACTTGACAGTAGGCAAAGAACCAAAGTTAACAATCTCAAGTGGAGCAGAATCTAGAACAATGTCAACAATCTTTGGTGGAGAAGAATCTGAAACAAAATCAACAATCTCAAATGAAGAAGAATCTACAAAAATGCCATCATGATTCAGAATAGTAGATATAGAATAATTGACAACAGATTGTAAAATAGATAGCTCAATATGCTTAACATCTTGCATAGGAACTAACTGAATGAATTTTTCCTCAAGCTCAATGCTTAGTGATGATTCAACTTTTGGCACCAATGAGGTAGGAAATATGATAGGATAAAAAATAATCTCATCACTAATATAAATGCTCAAACGATTGGAAGTATATTTTGAAGGATATAAAGCATGAGGGTCCAATGGAACAAAAATATGGCTATCATTATGCGGGTGTCCGACATTAGGTGAAACTGGAGACTTGTCCTTATTTTCTTCCATTTGCTGACTTGCAAGAATTTTATTCAAGTGGAAAAATTGACTTGTTAATTCGGATAATTGGTTTTTCACCCCTTTAAATTCTTTACGTAATTGGCTGAGTGAATGTTTAATATTGACAACTTCAATTTCAAAGATCTCAACTTTTTTTCCTAGGGCAGTTTGAGCTTTTGAATGGTCACTAATAACATTGAAGATTGATCCAGATTGACCTTGATGACGACTTTGGGAAGCATGATGTTGGTACCTGTTATGTGATCTAAGTGTCCTAGAGTAGTATTCTAGATAATCTTCATAATAAAACTCAAACTTATTATGGACTTTATGATGACTTCGAGAAGCTCTAGGAGTGGAATATGTATAGTGATGACGTTGTGGAGAACTATGAATTTGAGACATTCTTGATGTTGGATAAGTATATGAATAGGCATCATAATGATCATATGAACTCATGATTCACTTTGAAAGATGAGAATAATATAAGAATGAGTTCAAGGATGCAATTAATAATTACGAGAAGTGAGAAAACTTAAATAGAAGAAAATATGTTTTGGATCCTTTGCAAATTCTCTAATTTTTCAATGAATAAAAATATTAGTCTCAAATTTTATGGGAGTATGCATACCATAATCAAGAAGAAATTCTGAAGTTTTTGGGGATGATTTTGTAATTTTTGAAACTTCTGGGGGAAAGATTATGCAATTTCTATAACTTCTGGATTGATATTTCTATAATTCTGAAACTTCTTGTGGTAGTTCTACAATTTTTGAAATTTTTTGGGGTGTTTTTATAATTTATAGAACATCTGGGGTGTTGCTGTAATTTTTTGAACCTGTTGGGACGTTTCTGCAATATTGGAATTTTTAGATGATACTTCTGCAATTTACTATAACTTCTGGGGTGATTTTGTAACTTTCGAGAACTTCTTGGGATGTTCCTGTAATTCTGGAGCTCTATGGGAGTGAAAGGGTTAAAACCAATATCTTTTTCCTTAATACGATGGAACGAGGAAGAAGATGGGCAGCGATGAAATCGAAGTAGCACATGTCAATGACAAAAAGATGTGCAATGAACAGTAACAACGATGAACAGTCCACAATTATTATTATTTTTTATTTTTTATTTTTTTTATGGAACGAGACCAGAACAGTGTGCGATGAACAGTGCTCACGATGATTTTTTTTTTTTTTACTTGGACAGCCGGTGAACAGTGATTTCGCGCGAACAGTTTTTTGTTTTATTTTTTTTTCGATGAACGGCGTTGTTGAGATTTTTTGTGATTTATACGAATCGAAATTAGGCTCTGATACCAAATTAATGTAGATCGTATTAGGGATGAGAAGGGAAGAAGAAATGGATGAGAAAAGAAGAAGAAGGAGATGAGAATAGAGAGAATTTTAGAAAGAAGATTCAATATTAATAATCAATAATCAAAGTCTAGTCCCTCAACAAATATGTATCCTCTATATATATAAGGAATTTACAAATCTTATATATATAAGGAGATCACAAACCCTAAAATAAATAAATAATCAAAATGACAACTAAACTCTTAAAAGTTAAAAGAAATTACTTAAAAGCTAAATATTAAAAGTATCTAAATAACTATCATAATTAATCTATAATATCTATCTAATTCCTACACAATCCCCGTCACTTAGTGGCCACCATTATTTTTAGGACTTTTTTCCTCCCACATTAGGATATAGAGTAGTTTGGCGAACTCTTTTAGATGTGTATGGTAATTGGGGATTTTGACTAGATGAGTTTCTGTGATATCTTATAATCTTGTCATTATTCTTTGTTGCATATGTTTTGAGATTCTGGGGATGGCATGTTATCTTTCTGCTTCCAGTTTCTTGGAGTTTTGAATTCAAAAAAAACAAAACTTAGAGAGCTTCGAGATAAGCTTTCAAAACAGGAAAGTTCTAGAAAATTGCCGGAAGAAGAGGAAGAAGAATCCACTGACAAAACTGAGATTTATGGAAGTGATGATGAAAAAAGTGAGGAAGAGCCTGCAAAGAATCTTATTGGCACTTCAAAGAATGTTTCAGCAAGTAGGCCTCGCGGTCGCAAGAGGAAGTAAATGTCACTACCTGATGTCCATATCTGTATGTTAAGCCGTTGCCATTTCCCTGTCCTTGCCTTCGGAAAAATTTGATGTGAAGATTTTCTTGCCAGTTCACAGTTGCTTTGTAAGAATTTTATGGAAAAAATAAGTTAACAACAAATGTCTTCCTGACAGTTTTATATTTTTGGTCACATACCAATTATCCCAAGTTATAACAAGGCCCACGTAAAGAGCAAAGTTGTTCAAATTGCGTTTAATCGATTAATCATTGTTATATATGTTTGTAAATAGTGCATTGCAGTATTGACTGTTGTACACTCTTTAATTTGAGTTTTTGTTTTCGGCTAGTATTTGTCCCTCCCCACCTACATACCCCCTTCTCCCGTATTTTAAGTGGAAAAATGCTTGCTTAAATTTAATTTATTGATAGTAGGTATCACTCAATATTCTTTGGAACCCACAACTAATTCAATAATTGTGATGGATTATGTTAATAAATTAGATCTAAGTAGTATTATTGTTTTAAGTTTTGTGGCACTTTTGGTGGACAAAAGGCTGTGTTAATGGTATTTGCATGCCAACACAGATTGTACTTCCCAAAACTCAAAAAACAGTGGGTTGTACCAGAGATTGTTGATTCAACTATCTACATCGATTTGGGATATAAAATGTGAAAGTAGTTTTGGGATGCACATCATTATTATTTGCATGAATATACAAATAAAGGGTAAAAAACCACAGCCAAAATGCAACTTAATAAGCTATAGAAACTATCAGATGGAGCAATCCAAAAGGGAATCAAAAAGTGCAAAGAAACCAGTCACAAAGACAGTACAGCATAGCAATCTGGTAAAAGTACCACTCAATCTAAGAATACCCACAACCAATTACTTTAGACTAGTATAGATGAACAAGGCATGAACGCAGACACATTGGAGCATACCCAATTTTTCTTTGCAAAAATCCAGTAAACCTTCTCAACAAAATCATAGATATCAGTGTCCCATAACTCTTCAAACACAACACTGGCTGGTGCATCAAATTGAAATCACTGCTTGTTCCATGAGATTTAGGTAGACAAAATAGCAGATGTCGAAAGCATCGACCATCCAAAGATGAAAAATTTAAAGCATTGCTTGTTGTATCCCACATTGTATAAGTTTCAGAGGAAACAATCACAAATCTTTCTGACGAGAATTAGAAAGTGACTCGAGGGCCGTTTGACATTGTTTATTCACCAACACATGGTGTAGTAATGTCGAACTGACTGCTTCATTAGGCAAGAAATTTTTATTACACATCTCTTTAAAGAACTGCATTGCTTTGGTGATCTCATTTTCTTGGAGAAAATCTCGAATGATGATGTTAAATGAAATGGCAGCTGGGAAGCAACCCTCCTCTTCCATCCGCAAGAACAATTTACTGGCCTCCGACAACATCCCATTCCTGCAGAGGCCATTGATCATTATGTTATATGATACAATATCAGGCACCATACCTTTCTTCAAGATTTCATCAAACTGTTCCTTCGCTGCTGCTATTTTACCAACTCTGCACATCCCATCAATGAGTGTGTTGAAAAATTCATTATTAGTTTCAAGCCCAGCACTCTTAATAGACCTAAATACATCCATTGCCTCTTCGAGCTGTCCATTTTTGCAGAGCCCATTTAACAGTATAGAATATGAACACAAATTTGGAGATAACCCACAAGTTTGCATCTCATTGAATAGTCCCTTTGCGGTTTTAACGCTTTCTGCCTGGCAGAGTGCTCCTATTAGTGTGCTGTAAGTTACAGTGGTGGTCTTCAGCCCCTTCTCATGCATTTCCTGAAAGAGGCGCATAGCTCCATCAGTTGCCCGACCTTTACAATACCCATTAATCAATGTATTGTAGCAAGTAACATCCTGTTCAAGACCTCTGTGTTCCATTGACTTAAACAGCTCTGCTGCTTCATCCAAGCTACCTGTCAAACATAATCCATAAATCAGCGAATTATACGTAAATTCATTAGGCTTCTTGCCTAGCAGAATCATCAGGTCAAACACCATCCTAGCTTCTCCCACCATCCCCTTTTTACAGAGACAATCTATTAATATCGTAAATGTTACAACATCTGGTGAAATCCCTTGTCCAACCATTTTATCAAAAATTCTTGTAGCTTCCTTCCACAAATCCAGCTGACAAAAACCATGAATCAAAGAACTATATGTTACTACATCGGCAGAAATCCCTCGGCCAACCATTTCATCAAAAAGTCTCGCAGCTTCTTTCAACCGGCCTGAACTACACAAACCGTCAATTAAACAACTGTAAACAATGACATCTGGGGTAATACATTCATGAATCATGTCGGAGAAAAAATCAAGTGCCTCATTCATCAACCCATCTTTGCAAAGAGAATCAATGACCATGCTATATGAGGGCACCTTTACTTCAACTTTCTCTTCAGTCATTTTATCAAGAAACTGAACTGCACTCAAAACCTTCCCCTCCTTACATATACCTTTAACCAAAGTACACAATGTAACTGAATCTGCTTTCAAACCCCTCCTCAACATTATGCCAAATACACAAAACCCAGCATTTATTTCACCCAAATGACAGCAACAATTAATTAAAATATTCAGAGTATACAAGTGAGGCTCAATTCCTACCAAACCCATTTTCCTATACAATAAAAATACATCAAAATAGCATTTAAGTTTGGAGGTAGAGCCTAAAATATGATTAAATGTATCGATTGACGGTATGGGTTGCATTTGAACCATTTTCGTCGAAGTACTTTACTGCATCTTTGAGCTTAATGCTACCTGATTTACACTGATCCATCACGTAACATTCGAACCGGTTCGGAAGACCAGTAACATTCTTTCTTGAACCAGATTTTCTGGGTTCGGAATTTGAGGAGGAAATCTGAGGTGGGTTTGTAAAGAAAGAAGAGAGAGAGTGTGGGAATTTATTAGTCTTTTGTATTGCAGTTCTTGAAATAGTAGATGGCATTCTTTTGCAACGCCAAGTTTGTATAACATATTTATATGAATGGATTGATCTGTGTATGACATTTAGGAGTTGCAGAGATGGAGGGTGGTGGAGCAATGGACATGTCTATTGATGATAATTTTTTAAGTTTGAACATCTACACAAAGGTGTGCATGTGGGGTGGGTTTGGGTGGTTCGTTTTTTTGGGTTGTTCGGGAAAATCAGGTAATATGTATAATTTTTCTTAATTGGATTTAATTTATTAGTATCCTAGCATGTGAACGATGACGGGTGTGATTAGTTCATGTCAAATTTTATTTAGGTTCATATCAAAAAATATTTTATTTATATTTGATTTGTTTATGAATTCGTGTCTAACGGATCATATTATATTAAATTTGGTGTCGTATATGATCCTTGTATAATTAATATACAAACAAGTTGTATCGTGTATTTCTTCTGATTAACTTTACTCATACCCGATTTATTTATTAATCATGTTGTATTGAGTCCACTCGTTTATTAAACAGGTGATTTAAAGAAAATTTAAATCCTCTAATTTTGTGATGTGTTCGTGTCGTATTAATGGGTTGTGTCATATTTTGACACCTCTAAGTGTCACGATGAGTAGTCACAAATAATCGAACTAAATTCTATCATGAAAAAATATTTTTTGATACGTTACTAAAAAAAATTTATTTTTGAATCATAGTCTTGTCTAGATGAGTTTTAGGATAATATTATTCCGTAATTTTAAAATTTTGAAATATTTCATAAAAGTATGCAAAAAAAAAAAGTTGTTTGATAATTTCCGTAAAAAAAATTGGGTTCGATTCACATTATTTTTTTCTTTAATATAAGAACTTGGTATTTTTTATTATTTTAATGATTAGTAGTCACAAGTAAATTAAATCAAGATATATGCTTAAAAATTATTTTTTAATAGTGATAATGATAAGATTTTGGCTTGGGCTGCCAATCCAAAACCCAAACTATCTAATGAGCCCAATGGTTACACCACAGCCCAAGTGGCCCCTCCACAGCCCATCTGTCCCGCAATAAGAAAGGGCTATAATACATAAACTCCATTTAATCAGACAATAAGAATGTGGAAACCCTCTCATTAAGTTATAGACTATTCTATGGTAGAATATCGGAAGTAATCACTCCGCCTTTAGTCGAAGTGGAACTTGTCAATTTAATTTGACAACTATGACTCCATTTCACGAATCGGAATAGCTTCTAATCACAATTAGAGATCTAGTATCAGACCAAAGCACAAATGATGAACTTAAACTGTAGCATACCTCCCAGCCAAAACATCCTTCTCACTGTATAGTATCCTCGTTACTGATGGGGCAGGTGTATCCGAGAAAGTTTATAGCTCATCAATCTGAAAAAAGACCAAATCGGAAAATCAATCTTGGATAAAAAAATAGTACTTTGTTTACAAGCTTCCGGGCACATGTAAAATTTGTTTGAGTTATATCAGGGGCTGTTTGGCTGTCCTTCACAAATCTTACCAGTACACATACATCTAGTTTTATTGTTAACTGATGTGGGATCGTAACACAGCGTCTTACGCTTAAAATGTCTAATTCAGAATGATGTAGCTTCTATTGACTTCTATCAATGTAAAAATAATCAACATCAATAAACCTCTTAATTTGAAAAGTGTCACCGCCAAATTATAGATAGTTGTTCTGCTTCAAAACCATTGGTACATCAATTTACCAGAAGCTGGGCATGCAATTTGAGACGATCACTACAAATAAAATAGGGGGTAAATGATTTCTTATTCCCATGTGATTCGAGCCAGTGAAATCTTAACTTTTCATATTTTAGAAACCTGCACTTCACTACCTTAAAGTTTGGGATGAAAGTGCAACGAGTAATAAGGATGACAATATTGTATTCGAAGATAATAGTACCTTCATCTTATCTTAATTTTCCCTTCGTTGGCAACACATTCCAATTCCCAATGTATCTAGACCCTCTTCAAAACTTTTTTTTTTTCTCCATTTTCCTCACCACCTACCATGCATTACTCAAGTATAGTTCAATTCATGGTAGGTTATCTATGAAGGGAAAAATGGAGAAAAAAAAATGTATTGGAAAGGATCTCACTAAGGTCCTAACCAATATTAGGGCCAATTGTCAAACAAGGGCACAGCTAGGAGCGCAGGCGTGGGCACTCGGGGTGCGGCCGACGCAATCACATGGGCAGGTGCAGGTGTAGGAGTAGGCACAGAACAGGGAGCTAGAAGTTGGGTGCTAGGGGCTGAGCACCTAGAGGGGGGCCAAAATGAGGGCTCATAGTTGTATGCGGCTTGAGTTCCAAGGGCGTGCCTAGAGATGACAAAAACAATGTTATTCTAACATTAAAATATCCATCATGATTATCTGATGAGAAAGCAGACACATTGACCTATAGAGAAATAGTCACTAAGCTGAAGGGAGACTGTCGCATGAGAGTAGAGGCGAAGATTGATGGTTGCTCATGAGAGAGCTACACCTCTTAAGATTGAACTTTTGGCAACCCGCGAGAGAGTCGCTAAGCTGAAAGTAGGCTGACTGTGAGACTACCAGCACGAGAGTAGAAACATAGTTTGAGGGTTGCTCGTGAGAGAGCGACACCTCTTAAGATCGAGCTTTTGGCAACCTATCGAGATAGTCATTAGGCTGGAGATAGGTTGACTGTAAGGTTGCCAGCACGAGAGCAAGGACAGAGTTTGGTCAAGCTTCTAAAGACTCGCGAGAGAACCACGACCAATAGCCAATCAGTTAGTTATGAAAAGCATCAAATGATAGCGCGGACTAATGCCACGGCGTAGATCTTTGGAAAACACTTCGATAGGTTGAACTCTATGATGAGCATTCAGTGAGCTTTTGACCCATTCCACGGGTTTTTAAAAAAAGAGTCTCAAATAATTGTTGATTTCAAAGTAACTCTCAAATTCACGTCCTTTTTAAAAACGTCAATTCATTTGACATTTTTAACCCTTTTTTCTCAACACAGTGACGTTAATAAACGTTAGTTGGACTGCCGTTTCTTTAAATACGTCAGTCCAACTGACGCATTTAACACTGCCTTGCTCCTCTTGTTTTTTCGCTGGTTGCCTTGCTCATCCTTTGCCAAAAGTCAAGCAACTTGTAATATTTAACACATAACTCCACCGACTTTATTGAAAAATAAAATTGGGCTACTTCTTTTTTTACTCCTTCTTTGCAAAAAATAACGTGATTTGTTTATAACTCCACTTGATTTTGGTAATTATCATAAGTGACTTCTAAATTTTCTCTCTGGTTTTAATGTAATCCATAAAATTCTAATTCTTTTAATTTAATCCATTAATTATTAATTTTATCGTTTCGAAACAGTTGAAACATCTAAACGTTTTCTGTTTATAAAAAGACCGAAACGAATCAATAATGAAATCGAAATTCTAATACTTCGAGGTATTCCATAATGTTTCAAGATATTTTGTTATATTTCAATGCATTCGCACAATTATTTTGGAATATTTCAAGATATTTCAAAATATTTTGGTATATCTCGACCAATGTTTTGAAAAAATAATTCTTAAATTTTTTATTTTTTTTCATTCTGTTTTTGAAACGAGTCGAAACGTTTCCAAAACATGTCAAAATATTTTAATATCCTAAGTGACCAAAACAATGCACCGAAACAAAATTTTGATCCTTGATTCCAAGTCCTTTGATTATGATGAAAAAATCAAATTAAAAAACAGGAGGAAAGGGATGATGAAAATAAAGATTTTTCCCCTTTAAACCCAACTGATGGAATTTACACAGCTCAATCAACTTGGACTTGGGTTGTGCCACAATTCCTCAAGGTACACTGGTATAGGCTTATCTGGTATGAACAAGTTATCACCAGGATGAGCTTTATCCTATGGTTAGCTATTCTTGAAAGATTAAATACTAAGGATCGGGTGGAAGCTTATATGCAACATGTGTAGTGTATCTGTGTGTTTCGTAGCAGTGAGGAAGAAAGCCACAAGCATTTATTTTTTGACTGTCCTGTTACTTCTGGGATATGGCGAGCAGTGCTGCTAAGGAGTGGAGAGCCTTGACAGCCTAAACCTTGGCAATCTCTCATTCTTAGTGCTTCTAAAGAGTGGAAAGGGAAGACTTTGAAGATGAAAATTCTGAAGCTGGGCCTTGCAGCTACTGTTTATACCCTTTGGAGAGAGAGAAATGCAGCCAAGAATTCAGCAATTATTCTAAAGGGGATCATTAACGTGATAAGGAGCAGATTGATTACTCTTAAGGTTAAGGAGTCTGCCCAAAATTATGCCATTCTTCAAATGTGGCATCTTTCCTTTCCTAGCTGAGCTGTTGATGGTTGGGAGTTACCTTTCTTTTACATTGTATGAGTTCATTCTGCAGTAGCACTGGCCAAGCAACCAGTGTTTCTCCTAGATTGACTCTTTCGCTGTTCTTTTGAGCACCTGTTTGGTGCTGTTATTTTTGTAAAAGTCTATGGCTTGAAAATTTGCATAGCATACCAATACAATGTTTACTTACCCAAAAAAAAAAAAAAAAACACAATTGACAATGAATAAAAAGTCAGATATGGTAGACAACTCTCCCTCCTATAGAGGGTTCTAGGAGCACAAAAGGGGTAGGCACCATTACTCCCCATTTTCAATGAATGCAAAGATACATAGATATTACTACGAGAGTGCGGCTTTCTACGCAAACAGTGGCGCATCTGTGGAGAACATATACATAATAAGACATGCTGTTGGTGCAACAGCCAAAGAATTTATATCCTTCTCGTGGGCTGCTACAACTGCTTTTGCTTTCAAATTAGAAGCTTCTTCCGCATCATCAGCAAGACTATCTAAACTCCACACTTTGAGGGTACGGTCACTAAATAGGACATCACATGAGAATTAGCACTCAAACACAAACTAACCCTATACTTTTCTTCTTCTGGCTAGATGCTTCACTAAGATAATGGTAAAAGAAAGAACTATGTCTAATTCCATCATCATGAAACACAGTAAAAGTAATACCCAGAATGGGTGGCTGTGGCACGGTACAAAAATTACTGAGCTGAATAGTCAACAATGTTCCAATTATCAAGAGACTAAGAGAACTTAAAATAAGGAGCTTTCCAAACAATAATGCAGAATCACTGGCAAAACATCAGATAGGAGAAAAACCAGCCAAAAAAGGTCCCAAAAAATAAAAATCAAACAGCAGAAGGAGAGTAATATTTAACAGTTTTCAAGATTAAACCAAAAAATTTCTCACAATTTTAATAAATTTTCCTTCCAAAGTTAAGATTTTGCATGGGCACCCATACATGGACACACAATGCAATGACTTACAAATATGGAACCAGTTTCCAGCCCTGCTCACAGTATGCACGAATAGAGTAGAGAGCAATTTTCGATGTTTTAAACTAAACCCTCAGTTTTATGAGAGTACTTAATCATTTGAAAAAAAAAATTATACTATAATTACTTAGTATTCTATAAAGAGGTACAAGCAACATAAATATATATTTGTTCCAAGTTGTTAAAAATTCCATTTCCTTATTTATAAGTAAAAAGGCTAGAAAAGAACTTTATATTTTGTTGATAATTTTTCTTATGGAAATGTTTTCATGAGCAGGTGAAACAAATAACCGTTCGGCTTTATATTGCAATTGATATGTATCGCATCACTCATCCTCAATTGTACAGTCATAGTCCTTCAATATAAATGTAAAACCATCAATTCTCTTAGTTTCTCCACAATTCAAAAAGAGGGAGAGATGAAATACTATACCCTAGATGAGTGTTGAGGCTGAAAAAAGGCATGTACATAAAATACATTTTTGTATACATCTATTTGTGTAACATTGAATAGTATACCTATCAACCTAAATATCTCCTCTATTTTGTTATTGAAAAGAAAGAAGACAGGCTCACACAATTTTGAGGTACATAAAACTTCGAACTGCGTACACAACACCGCAAAGAAATTAACCATCTGCATATCTTTTATCATCTCCACAAAAAGAACCCCAAAATCGCAAATGTTTCTGAATGATATTTTATCAACTCCATAAGAGCACCCCAAATCCTCAAAAAGTATTTTAAAAAAATCTAGACCCAACAACAAAGACCAAAATCCATGTGCATCATAGTAAGGGCTTCAACAGAGATTCATTCCACCTCAAATGCAGAAATTTCTAGAGTAATCACTTACCTACTACCACTAACAAAGAAGTTCCGCTTGCTCTTTGAAAAAGCAACAGCTCCAACAGCTCCGGTATGATAGGTGCCAACCCCAATGCAACTTCTGCTCTCGGAGTCCCATAACCTAACCTATGAAGAGAAAGGAATTAGAGAAGCAAACAAGAACCCTATAAAAGCAAAATATAGATAAACAGCTTGGCACAACACCAAGAATACACAACGACAACAACACATAAGCTCAATCAATGTCAAATTCAAATATGAGGAAAAAATTGGTGACAACTCTGATGAAAACATACAACGCAGCTCTGCCTTGAATGTGGAAGAAAACTTACACTATTGTCTTTGCTTCCTGTCACAATAAGTGTTCTTCTAGATCTTGTTACACATGTATCAAGCCATAGAACAATCTCGGTATGACTTGCCAATACATAGGAACATGACATGGATGCAAGATCATACACGCGTACCTGCATATATGTAAATCAGGGACTAAAATCTGACATCTGGTATCGCATTCCATCAAGATAGACAAACACAATGAATATAATTTACTATTGAAAATACTNATGTACAAACCAAATCAGGGACTAAAATCTGACATCTGGTATCGCATTCCATCAAGATAGACACACACAATGAAAATAATTTAATATTGAAAATATTTGGGGTTTAGATGTTTATACAACTCAACTCCATAGAGCCTTTATCCCAACTATTAGGGGTTGACTAGGTTTAGATGTCTATAACAAGAAGCTAATGTATAGTGATTGTGTATGGTTGCTCATGCCTTATTTATTGTACCTGAAACAGGTTCAACACAATCTTATTTACTATATTTCATAGGCTTCCAACATACTGTTGAGGAACATTCATTGGATTTCATGCCAAACACGGTTGGACACATGAAAAAAGTGTTCATAATTCTTTCAAAAATTCCAAGCACTAACATAGGAATACCTCAAGTGTTGAGGATTACCCAATCTTCAAGGTAATCCATGAACTCGGATTTTCGAGATCAATCCTTAAAAGGGAATCTCCAGCATGTCCCTGCTTGGCTTGATTTAGCAAGGCCCTAGTAGGAGGCTTAACAGAGTTCTGCTAAGGGAGAGCATGTATCAGAAGCAACTCATCAAGAGAAACTTCAATTCTTTTGAGAGATTACTCTCACTAAGGAACCATCTAAGACGGAGCCTGAAGTTTTAAAGGATCCCATCATTAGGGAATGTAGAAGAATCAAATAAGGTAAGAGAATCCCACAATCCATCACTGGCTCTCTAATTGTTCTCCCACTAATTTGAAACACAATTCAAAAGCACCGGTGAGGTTCAAAGGTACATGTAATTTCCACACCCACTGAATAGGTTGCTACTCTACCAAAAACACCTACTCACTCGAGCAATGGATGATCATCAAGCCAACACATGCTACATGAGACAATGTTCCTTTTGTTGATAGTTCAGCTAAAGGACGAATATAAAAAACTGTTTTTACTAGACCAATAGATGACATTAATAGTAATTATAAAAAACCAAGTGACATACAAGAATATAAAACTTTAATGTATGCCTCGAAACGCACTCACATCCTATAAAGTGACTTGCACCACTGCTTTTCCAACAAGAAAAAGCTTATTGTTGTGAAAAAAGGAATGTAGAATAGGTCAGCCTCTTCTTGCCGATAGACTCTCACAACGCTCTTCAAAAGCCTTTCTGATACCGGAGTAATCAAATCCGCCCACGGCCAGTAATCAATAGAATGATGCACAAAGAAAATGAAAAAGAAATTTGAATAAAAAAAGTTACCACTGAATCCTCAAAAAATCAAACTTAGTTTAATTCTCTAAAAAATATGTTGTCAAGGAAAAAATTACTCTAAATTAGAAAACATATTACTACTCCTGTTCGATGAGTCGGTGAACATGACTACCATTAGAATTGAGATTTGAAGTCTCTCTATATGTATTTCGAAACAACCAAAGCAAATCGTGGGTGAATTTCGATGGCATCTCGTAAACGTAAACCCTAAGAGCTGAAGGTGCCAGTGGCGAGAATGTAGGATATAATTGATTGTTCGAAAAACCTCTCAGTCTCTCTCTCTTCGACATCAGATCATCCAACTTCTTCACATCCGCTTTGCTCACTGTATGCACTGTATCATCTGAAACCGTATGACATCTCTAATTCTTCGAGGTGGAGGTCAGGAATTCTTCGAGTGAAGCCACGAAGTAGTACTCAACATTAGGATTGAGTTTAGAGATCTGAAAATCGTGGATAGGGCTGGTATGGGAAGGAGATGAGAACACGGAGAAGATGTAGAAGAGAATAGAGAGAGCCAAGACAGCAAGAATGAATAAGAGGATCAGAGATCTGGTTTTAAGGTTTCAAGAAGGGAAAGAATGTCTTCCGGCCATTGGATTGGGCACACATACAAAAATAATTATGCATAATGGTTTCTTCTCTCTCTAGATTCGTTTTCAAGAGAGTTTACACTGAGAGATAGAGAGAGAAGAGCAAACGGGAGGGAGAGTGATCAATGTTAAGTCCAAAGAACCTGGTGCTGCAAAAGTTGGAGTCTCCAAACCGAAAGTTGTATGGTGCACTGTTTCATATCCACTAAAATTAACTGTTTGATATCTACACATGTTAGAATAATAAAATCTGATCAAAAAATAACAACTAATAAATAATTGAATAACAATAATAAATTGAATAACACAATAAGTGAATAATAACATTTGATTTTAAAAAAAAACAACAATAACAAAAAAATAATTGAATCACAATAAGTGAATAATAATAAATTAAGTAACACAATAAGTGAATAATACAATAGAATATGAATTTTAATAGTAAAATTTAAAATATTTGATATTTTATTTTTGATCGAAGTATTTTTGGTCTAAGTATAATATTTTAAACTTAAGGGTTCTAATTAATATATGTTTATAAACTTCAGGGGGTCTGGATAGAATTTATTATACGGCAAGGTCTAAGTGTTACACACATAAACACTTTAGAAGATTTGAGTGACTAAGTGACAAACCTCAAGGGGTCTGGGTGTAATTCTCCCTAAAAAAATTTAAATTTTAATTATCAAACAGTCCTAATTAACAAGTGTCAAATATATTTTTTTTTAAGTGCTAAATTTTGATTAACAAACAAACATAATATTCGTGTAATGCTTTGTCTTTCCCTCTTTTAGCGTAAACAATGATCACAATGGACCCAAAATGCATGTCGGTCATCACACTGCTACATCCATACCTATATGCAGCCACCTCTTCCAAGATGAGTGGGTTATCATCAGTAGCATGATGAAGTTGCCCAGAAAGTGGACCATGTCAAATAATTCTTTTAATGGCATGGTTACTCCATTTCTACGCAGAAGCCAAGAGGGCAAACTACAGACAGTGTTGCCACTAAATTTGAGGTTCAAGTGCTTTGTTTTGACCAGCTGCAACTACGGATAGATATAGCACAATTTATTCCCAAGCCTCCATTTTCATCTTTCACAACCAAAAATATGCAAAATCGGACAATATATAAGACGACGGTTTTTTGAAGCTGTTGCAGACAAAGAAAGAGTATTAATCAGTTTACATCCATCTCCATCCCCAAATCATTAGCCAATCAACTTGTAGATCTCCTTCATCCACAAGCATGATAACGGCATTCTTATACAGGTAAATACTATCTTAACAAAAGGAAGTGAAGAACATAGCCGTAGTTGGAAACCATAGAAACAATCTTGAAGAATAACTCTTACAGCTCCACTGACATAAAAAAAATCCCAAACCGCAAAGCTTCAAGGAAATATCATACAATAACGACAAAAAATCATTTTGTTATACAAGATAAGAGTTATAAAAATTCCACTTAAAAACCCATAATGTCCCAGCTTGGAAGAAATAAATCCTCAGCCATTTTTCCCTTCATAGCCAAAAGCACTTGACCTTAGTTTCAATGTTTACATTCTATTTGAATTCATGGCTGCAACCAACGCTGGCTTCACTAAGAAACCTTAAATATAGTCTTCACACTAAACCAATTCGACCTTTTTTTAGGGGTGGCGATAAAACAAGTTCCACAAACCCAACGTACCAATACTGAGAAACATCTAATTGTAAGCAACCATTATGAAGACACCAAAAAATTTAAAACATTGGTGCTTACAATATTACAAGATAATAGGAGAGCAGCGAATTTTTCTAGTAGATCAAGTTTTCATCAATAGCACTACGACGGGGTCACTTGAAATATGTAGAAGAGAGAAAAAGGGATACAAACTAAGTGTAGAGCCCCCGTATATATAGCCAAAGAAAGTTACAATAAAGAAAGGTAAAAAAGGAAAAACTTAATAAACCCTAATAAACTAAGCTGTTATATCTCCAACACTCCCCCTCAAGTTAGGCGCAAAAATGTCAACTAAGTCAACCTTGACAATTGAGTCCCGAAGAATGGATAGAGTGATAGGTTTGGTAAAAATATTCGCAACTTGATCATTAGTCCCCACAAACGATGGAGTGACAATACCACTGCAAACCTTCTCTAGAAGAAAGTGCACATCGATCTCTATATGCTTCGTCCTCTCGTGTAATACAGAGTCAGAAGCGAGCTGAATAACAGATCGATTATCACAATATAATGTAGATGGAGAAGTCACTAGAAGTCCCAACTCGCCAAGAATCAATCGTAGTCAGATAATCTCACATGTGCCAAGTACCAATGCCCGATACTCTGTCTCTACTGATAAGCGAGAGACAACTGACTGCTTCTTGCTATTCCAAGAGATAAGATGAGTCCCTCGAAAAGCACAAAAGCCCGTAGTAGATCGACCGTCACATGCTCCCCCATAATCTGAATCTGAATAACAGACTAGAGAACCAATCTGAGATCCTGATGCATAGAACAACCCAAGTCCAGGACAAGACTTAAGGTACCGAAGAATAAGATAAACTACATCAAGATGAGGTTGACATGGTCTGTGCATGAACTGACTAGCTCGGCTGACAGTGAATAAAATGTCTGGCCTAGTGTTGGGTAGGTAGATAAGTCTACCTACCAACCTCTGATAGACAGTCGGATCTCCCAACTGCTCACCTTCAACTGTAAGCTTCAGGTTTAAAATTATGGGTGATGATGTCGGTTTGCACCTTAGCATCCTAGCGTCTAAGAGAAGATCCAGAACATACTTTCTCTGAGAAAGAACAATACATCTGCTACTACGGGCAACCTTAATCCCAAGAAAGTATCGCAAAAATTCAAGATCTTTTACATCGAAGGCCTTCCCAAGGTCTACCTTAACCTGCGCAGTCCTAGAAATATCATCTCCAGTAATAATAATATCATCAACATATACCAAAAAGATGACACATTGTCCGGAAGTATTTCGTTGAATGAAGCAGGTATGATCAGAATGACATCTGGTGAATCCTAAACGTACAACTACATCACTAAAGCGAGAGAACCAGGCTCGTGGTGACTGTTTCAGTCCATAAAGAGACTTACGCAGTCAACAAACCTTTCCACCATACTCCCATTCACCACGAAAGCCTGGTGGTGCATCCATATAAATAATCTCGTCCAGATCACCGTGAAGAAATACATTCTTCACATCCAACTGATGAAGAGGCCAAGATTATTCCGCAGCCAGAGGAATAATCAGTCGAACAGTAGTCAATTTTACCACAGGAGCAAAGGTAGCACCAAAATCACGACCTGGTACCTGAGTAAAGCCCTTCGCTACAAGCCTAATCTTTTGACGATCAATAGTACCATCCGTAAGAAAATTCAGGGTATAAACCCAACAACAGCCAACAGGCTTCACCCTTGAAGGTAAAGAGACAAGATCTCATGTATGATTACGCTAAAGAGCGTCCATCTCTGTCTGCATGGCAAGAACCCACTGGAACTCCCGCATAGCCTCTGAAATAGAGCGAGAAATCGGCGTATCTGATAAGGTCATACTATAAGCTCGAAATGTAAGAGACAGATCACCATAAGAAATATAAGTAGAGATCGGATATAAAATCCTGGCGGTCCAACCATAACGAACAACTGGATGACGATCACGCAGCAGATAATGACGCCCTAAATCATCATCCTCCACTGATAATGTTTCATCAGGTAAAATAACTGGCTCAGTACCTGTAATCTCATCAGTACTAACAACAGGTGCATCAATATGCTCAACGAACTGAGAAGTATTACCTGCATCGCCTAAGGTAGAGGGGACATTAGCAGGGGGATAAGAGGGAGGACGACGAACATAAACTTACAAAGGAAGAGAGACTGGTGACTCTGTACTGACAGAGATGAGTGGCTCTGGAGGAGGAGAGACCGATGACTCTGTAGTGATAGTGACCAATGGCTCTGACTCCGGTGGTAATGGAAAATCAAAGGGAGTATCATCAACTGGAGGAGCAGACACAGGACTGAAAGAAAAATAAGGAATATGCTCAAGGAAGGTAACATCTAGACTGTGATACATACGTTGCCTGACAGAATCATAACACCGATACCCCTTAGACTGATGACAATAGCCCACAAAGATACAACGAATTGCTTTATCATCAAGCTTATGACAAGTAGGAGACTGATCCTAAACAAAATATGTGCAGCCAAAAACACGAGGAGGGACCGAAAAAAGTGTCTGTTCAGGGAATAAGACTTATAAGGGAGCCCTATGCTGAAGAACATGACTCGGTGTACGATTGCATAAGAAGGTAGAAGTCAAAATAGCAAAATGTCAATAAGATTTTAGTACCCTCATACCTTTAAGCATACAACGTACCATCCCTATCAGACTCCTATTTTTCCTTTCAACAACTCCATTTTGCTCAGGAGTATAAGGACAAGTGAGTTGTTGAAGGATACCCTGAGAAGAAAGGTGAGACACCANACGTACCATCCCTATCAGACTCCTATTTTTTCTTTCAGCAACTCCATTTTGCTCAGGAGAATATGGATAAGTGAGCTGCTGAAAGATATCCTGAGAAAAAAGGTGAGACATTAAGGCATCAAACACATATTCTTTGGCATTATCCGAACGAAGAGCACGAACAATGACATCGAACTGTGTCTTAATCATTTGAAGAAATTGAGTGATGACAGGGAGTACATCAGACTTTATATGCAAAAGGTAGACTCAAGTACAACGGGTATGGTCATCTATAAATGTCACATAGTATCGGACACTTGACAGAGCAGTAACAAGAGAGGGTCCCCAAATATCCGAGTGTATTAGGTCAAATGGTTTGGGTGACTAGTGCATACGAGGAATATAACTGATCCGAACATATTTTGATAGGGAACATATAACACAGTCAAGTTTACCACTAACACAAGCTTGCTCAAAGCAGGAAATAACATACATAAATATTTAAAATATGTATGCCCAAAATGGTCATGCCACAACTGAACAGTTTGTGATGAAAAATCATAACGATAAGTATTAGGTAAAATACTAGCATGTAGGCTAGGAACAGATAAAGACAAAGCAGGTGATGTAGGTGGAGGTGGAGAAACTGGTGAAATCGAAGGTGGATCGTCTAAATAATACAATTCATCTCTCTCATGTCCCCTGATAATAATCCTCCTGGTACTCAGGTCCTGCAAATAATACGAATCAGATAAGAATACAACTGCACAATGAAAATCTCTAGCTAACTGATGTACAAATAATAGATTCATGGCCAGCTTTGGCGCATGAAACACCGAACGTAATGTAAAGCCATCTGGGAGGCGGACTGTACCCCTACTAACAATAGGGGGCATGTGTACCATCTGCTAACTGAACTTGAGTATGTAACTGCTCGTCAAAAGAGGTGAAATGATGGGTCTCACCTGTCATATGACCATTAGCACCCCGAATCTAGCATCCAAAGAGAAGAAGGACTGGCGCAAGTATGAAAAACACAAAGTATACATGTAGTAATGACAGTAGTAGTAGTCGAACATTAAGAAGTCAAGACTAACATAAGTATATCCAAATGAGAAGTGATAGCATCCATATCACTCTGCCAAGGAGGAGCAGTAGTAGTAGTAGTAGTAGCAGGAGCAATGACTGTAGGTGGTGGTGCCTTAGCAATGGTAGTAGTACGGCTGCGAGGAGGCGGCTTAAGCTCCGGATGGAGCTTCCAAAAAGTAGCCCTGAGATGTCCTAGTCAGCTACAATAATCACACTGACGGGAATCCTCATATCTACGCTGATGTAAGGTACCCTGACGGCGTTGGGCCGAGCGTTGTCGATCCCTATACCCGGTGAAAGTACTAACAGATGTCTCAACGGTAGGGATCTCAACTCCCTCAGTAGTAGTCATATTATCAATAATACTAGGGCACTCGTGACAGAAAAATAACTCTAAGATAAATAGAGGGATAAAATAAGGGAGAACAATATACCTCCAGTCGAACAGTAGTGACAAATAAAGAAGGTCTACAAAGCTCCCAAATAATCAGATCACGGTGCTCAGAAATTCAATAAATATAAATAAATGATCTACTGCATCAAGAGCATATCAACCAAGAAGAGAATTCAACCCCTCTTTAAAAAGTCCTAGATACTGCAGCTTGGCAGTATTGTGACGAAGAATACGAAGGACGAAGCCACAAAAATCGCGACCCAACAGTGGGCTGATGAATGGGCTGGTCTGTGGTAAGTGACCCAGCAGTGGGCTGGTTCGAGCTGTGGACTGGTTTGTGGTGTATTGGGTTTGGGCTGGACAGTGACCCAGCTGGAGATAATGATGTTTCGGTGCAACAGGGATGCAGCAGGCTGTGGTGTGGCCTGGGCAGTGATTGGTTTTGGTATGGGGCAGTCGGTGGGATGCAGCAGGCTGTTAGTGTGGCCTGGACAGTGGTTAGTTTTGGTGTGGGGCAGTCGGTGTAGATGGTTTTGGTATGGGACAGTCGGTGGGATGCAGCAGGCTGTCGCTGGTCGATTTGGTTGGGCGGCTGCTGGTAGGGTGGTTTTGGTAGTGATTGGGTTGGTGGGCAGTGCTTTGGGTTGGTGGTTTTGTCGGTGGGTAGTGACTGTTTTGCTTGAAGGTAGTTTGCCGATGAGGAAGTCTTGGTGGAGACTAGGGTTAGGTTAAGGTTAGGATTTGGCTCTGATACCAACTTGAAATATGTAGATTAGAAAAAAAGGGTTACAAACTAAGTGTAGAGCCCCCATATATATAACCAATGAAAGTTACAATAAGGATAAAAAGATAAAAAAAAAAGTAAAAACTTAATAAATCCTAATAAACTATGTTGCTATATCTCCAACAGGGTCGAAATTCATTTTGTTCTTTGTATCCAATAAGTATTGCATGACCGAATAATTCAAGGAAAGGCGCACTGCTGTGAGGGTCCTTTTAAGTAGATGACTTGTCTAGCCGTCGAAGCGGGACTTAACTAGTAAAGTCATTAAACTTAGTCTTTTTTATCAACATGGCTGCAAGTGGATTGGGTACCATGGGTTGCTATAAGCTGAGTAGTCAGTGCAAGTTTGGGTTACGCCACCAAGTATGGCCTTCGACATTTTGCTTTTTCCATGAAAAGGGGCAACCTCTGCTAGTTTCTTAACTTACCCCAAATGGTCCACTTTCTCACCAATTTTCCAGTGCTATCGATAGGGGTATATATTGCATATCTCCATGTTTGCATTTGTGAAGATACAAAATTATTTGATACATTACTCAAGTAGAATTTTAAACTGTGATTTTTCATTTTTCTAAGCTAGTTGGAGACCAAGCAAGTAATATTAATCCTTAAAATATTGGCAGAATTGTGTGTTTTTCTCCCTCAGTTCGTACTGCCCTGTGGTGGTTTAGTGGTAGCAAAAGCGCACATCTTAAATACCTTGTAAAAATGGCACACACAACATTAAAATTCCATTCTAGAGCTCAATCACATTAAGTAACCATTGCTCAGTGTGAAAATCAGCAAACTAATGTTATGCAAAAATGCAAAGTCATTCGTACCACAATTGTTACACGACATTGACTAGAATGAAGAAAGTAAATGTATTTTAGTTGAGCTAGATAACTGGGCCCATTAGACTATCAGAATGTTAAGTTTGGTAAAAACAAGAACACTAGGAAAGATGGGTGCCTTATAATTAACCATGCTAATCATGGGGATGCAAGAACTCTAAAAGATGATGCTATTGTACATTTTACCTAATGTGCAACTCATTACATAAGCTATTATGACTTACTGCCATGAATAAAACGTACCTTCAAAGCATCTTGTTGCGGTGAAGATGGTATAACAGTGGTAAGACGCTCAATACTATTTCGTGCCACGTCAAAAGCTTCCTTTGTTTGCTCAACGGAAAAGGTTTGCACAGGAATCTCATGATCAATTTGTTGGGCAAGACTAACATTTGATTCTGAAGCGGAGACTGAACAAGGAGTAAATATAGGAGCCAAACTCTCATGATGTGATGGTTGGAGGGGAAATGGGCTCAGTAGTCCAAAAATCATGAAACTTTTTTTTTTCTTCAAACCTGTATCTAAGCCTATCTAATCCAGTTTTAAAGGAAGGTTGGTATACAAAAAAGGAGATTTATCTTTTTTCTTTAGGGGGATTACCAAGCCTTCCCTTTCCTCCCGCCTCTACCGTTGTATGTATGGAAAGTAGGTATGGAGGAATCTCTACATAGATTGCCTCCTGGATATCTGGATGAAAATGTCTTTGTTTTCGTTGATAAGGCTTGGACCCTTCTTTGAGTGGGAGAGTGTGTGCAATTATCCTCCGAAGTCTCCCGACTCTCATAAGGCCAAGGGAAGACGTCAAGGCTCAACACCTGATCAATTTTTCACATTTCTCATTCGAGATTTCTTGACCAATTATTCATTTTTGTGGGTTGGCGGGAATAACCTCTCTTTGAAATTCCACTAGTTGGCAGGTCCTATAAACTCTGATCCCGGAAGAGACATAACTCACGCTCGTCTATTATTTCATTCTATTTTAGGTTTTTTTTATGTAAAATGTAAAGCAACGACAATGTTTAATGAGATTCAAGACTAGAAGTTGCTCGACCTGGATGGAGAGAACCTTGAATGCTTGGACATTACAACACAGACTTTGAAACTTCCAGTTTAGATCGGGCGAAGAGAGAGAGAGAGAGAGAGAGAGAGCTCAAAAAGCTTTGAGACACCATGAGTGAAAGCTGTACATATATATATATATATATATGTATGTATGCGCGTATACGAACTACTAGTTCAATAAAAAAATTTAAAAATCAGAGCTTTGTTGAAGGGTGAGGCACATTGGAATAATACCTAACTCTCCTTCTATGTAATTGCCTCCAGACAACAATGAGGAACATCATCGACTGCCGGCTCTCCACTATGGGAGCTTCTCTATCAATTTCTGCCTCTCTGTACTTTGAAAAGTTCTCCTCGCATGTAGTGACTGACTTTAATGGAGTTTTTTTCACTTACTCACACACCGTCTTTCGGACAAAGGATTAGACTTTTGGGGGGTTTTTTTATTAAATTATTATTATTGTTTTATTTTTACTACAGTCAAGTGAGGAAGCGAGGAGGGTAATGTTGGTATTTCGCTATAACCTTTGGGTGTGCGTGGGCAAGGGGAACTCACGAAACGTGGCAAGATGGTGTATTGTGATGTGCCTAATACTGAGTTGTAATTTGTTCGTACTCGCCATCGAGATAACATTATCTGCAGCCTGCAAGAATGTTTTCCGCTACAACCAGTTATTGGATCCTTCTTTTAGATTAAAAAAATTAATTATTCAAAAAAAACAGGGCTAGCCGTAGTTTAAACGTGGCCGCTAATGGGCTGCTTTTCAATCAACGTGGCTGTTCGGCTTTTTTTTCCCATTTTTTTCTTTATTACGGTTGACCAAAAGCTATTTTTAATCCCTAAAAATACACTTATACTCCGTTTTGGTACAATGGATAAAAAATTAAAAAGATAAGAAGTTTGAGAGATATATAAAATTTCTTTGTTTGGTAAAAAAAGAAAATAAGAAGAAAAAAAAAGTTGATGGATGAGTTTTTCTTCTAACTCACCAAAATTAATCTCTCAAAAATCGGAAAGAAAGTGAACGAAAAGTTAATTATTTGTTTTGAAATATATATTATTTGTTTATATATCTTTTGATATATACATATATTATGTATAAATTAAATTTATTTTTATTTTTATTTTTTTTAAAAAAAAAATAAAAAATAGAAAAAAAATTCTATCGTAACTAGGGGCAAAAATTTTCAACTCAACACGAAGGCACGACTCGAACTCGACACAAATTTTATGACACAAACTTGATTATAACTCAACATGAACTCGAAAATGACCGGACACACGAACACGAAATATAAACGGTTAATATTCAGTTCAATTCGTCAGACCTAAAATTAACACCATCAACCTATTTATTTAAAAATAAACACTTTCTCTATTTTCTCGTTTGTACAGTAACACGCAATTAATACGAAATTAACATTTTAACTAGTATTATAGATATAAAATGTTAATTATTTGTAACTATTTACTAAGCACTGACATATTATTAGATAAAAAAGATATTTTTACTCAGTATTATTATTATATTTATTTAAATTAATTTTTAATTTGTAGAAAAAATATGAGTATGAATTCAATTAAGTAAAAATAGAATATTAATATTAAATTTTTTATTCAAAGTTTATGTAAGCCAATACATATACGAATACGAACACAAATACGATACAAAAATAAACAGGTCAACTCGACACGGCACGATTAATTAAATGAGTTGAGTTAGGTTTGATTAATGTTCGACACGAACCTGACACGACATGACCCAATTGTCACCCCTAATTTTAGTCAGCATAAAAGAAAAATTAATTATTTTCATTTTCCATCCATCTTATCAACACACAAAGGAAAAAAATTATATCATTCTTACTTTCTTTCCTTGAAGGATAGAAAATGTATCCCTCTTATTTTTTATCCATCTTACTTTTCATCCCTCCTACCAAACGAAACATTAAGATGTGTTTAGTTTAATCAGATTTGACAAATCTGTTCTTCTCATACTCATCTATATGACTCTTTGACTAATTATAGGGATACTATCTTTTAAGCAATGCTATATGGACAAAAGCTATTTTACAGCAGACCGACGTCGGTGATCAATTGACCGAATGCAAGTGACACAACTCATGCAATAATAAGATGATTATTCACTTCATGCTTAGCAATTTTAGCTGCTACCCAGATCGGGACGGGACGCGTATCCCTCGGATGATATTATAAGAGAAGGAATTAAAAATCATTGCTACGCTATCCACCAACTCGTATCACGTCCAATCCCATGTATGTTTCACGAATATATTTATTCTAAAGAACAGAATTAGTAACTAAATTGTATTACGGACAAATTATATTTTAATTATTTGGTAACATTTCCAGGATACATACCCTCCTTGTCTCCAAACGCCGTCAATAAAGGAGAATGTCTCTCATTACTATGTTATCCTAAAAAAACGAGACTGATCAGTTCATTCAGAGATATAGAGAGAGAAACCAATCTTCACTTCCGACAGGCACAAGCACACAAACACACAAAAACATCAACGCCAAACAGAGAGGAGACTCAAACCCGACTAAACTTGCTCTGGACCAACACCACACACCCTCTTCGACACTCCCACCACCACCACCACCACGGCACCCCCCCTCTCAGACACAAAACTCCAACTGTTCCCACGTATCCAACCTACATATCAACTGGCATCATCTCCCCAGTTCAGACCACGATGTCCACACCATTTCGACTATCCAACCTTTTTAGACATTATGGTAATTGTTCTAGCTTTACTTATCTGCACAACCGGATAAATCCGACTATAATTTGCAATTCAAAAGATTGAATTGGAAATCAAAAGAGCTGCATAATGATATCTAAGTGCATGCCAACTTTTACTTAGGATTTGTTATGTAAAAAAGTTTTCCAACTCATTCCACAAGTATCCATATGAAGTATATTATCAAAGGCCTGAATTGATCTTTTAGCTAATCTCCCTCTAACAGAAAAAATCTTTTAACCATCCAATGCAGTTTTCTAGACGTGTGAAAGAATTGTATTACTTGAAGACCTGATGTAAACCAGGAGCATCTTTTACATTAGACATTATTAACATAGGTAATCCCAAGAAAAGAATGGGAAGGAATTGCTTGTTCTAACCTTAACTCATGTGATTGCAGATATGCTCCCTTCATCCCAAACACAAACACAATACTGAGCAAAAACAGAAAAACAACTCACAATCAACAATCAAGACAACAGAGCTGGGCTTGTGAAGTTTGAACGCTTGCAGTCACAAGTGCACAGGCTTCTAGATTCTTTCACTACACGTTGCGACCTCCGGGTATGAAGCTTGATGTTCACTAACTTACCTGCCAACTGTTAACACAACCAAAGATCAAAAAGAAATCAAATTTGTCAGATAATTATTTAGTTTTGATTGCTCCTCTTAAACTAGAAATCACAAAGGCAGGCAATAAACCATATTCCTAAAAATCTCAACGTGCTTTTTACCGAGGCACTTGTCCATGTAGTTTGCTCGTCTAGTAATATTAAACATAAATGTATGAAACTAAGTTCTTCGTTTTCAAAGCTTAGCGATCATACGAACTTCAAGAAAATTATCACTCAAACAAGATACTAAAAGGCAGGCTAAACAGTTCACTTCTTGATCCTTCTTTCTCTTCTTCAACAACAATTAAAATCACAAACAAAAGGCCAAATGTATACTAAATAGGACGAATGAGTAACAAACCATTCTCCAAATCAAGTCTTCTGGTCCCATAGGTTGAGCTGGATGGGAATATAGGAAATGCCTTGAGAACTGTAAGCAAAAGATGTTAATAAAGTGAGGAACAAAATGTTGTACATGTATTTAATTTCATAAAGAAAGAAAACCTCCATAAAAGTTCTCGGCATCTCTAATTGGTTAAAGTAAAAAGCTTGGAGATCAAATATTCCAACCAACTGATAGGATTGCATCATGCTATTAAAAGATTATTTCCTTTTGTCTTGTTGAGATGTAATGATTTTGATTTATTTTCCCTTATTGTGTCCTTTATGGGATGGATCTCTCATCCACTTCTTTTGTAATTTGTTAATTTTCAATTACTGAAATTTTCGTTTCCTATTCCAAAAAAAAAAATAAAAACCAACCAATTAACCTGCTGAACAAAAGAAATACTACCACAAGTATCCAGAACTTATTTGAAGAATCAGACCTTAGCTAAGTTCATTTGCATTGCCCTGATTTGAGCAGGACTAACACTTCTGAGGAACTTTAAAAGTGATCCCGGCTGCACAGCTTCGCTCGAGGAAACAAACAAAGCTATCTACAATAAATTGACAAATGTGAAAGCCTTAGCAACCCAATACCAACTATTTTTTATCGGCTAAGTGGAAGTTCTAGAAGAATAAAAGCTCCAGAAGACCACATGGCAGGGGAAATTCCTAGCACACATGCATACAAAGAAGTGCCAATGGCTCAACAGAATTGAAGAAATCACCCAAAAACTTTTCATAGGTTGATTGTACTTGGATATCACACCTTAGAAGTTAAATATTGTACTCAATCACATGTACTTCAGCTTATCACCCAATACCAACTGTTCAAGGAAAGGAAACCAACATAAAGACAAAGATGAGATAGTTTGCAATTTAGATGATGCAATCACATTGTTTTACAAGCTATGCCTATTGTGGCCAAACTGTTAACATAATTGATTAACAAACATATAGAGAAGGAATCAACTCACGAGTTTTCAAATTCTTGATGTGAACTAGCAGATTCGTAAAAATTGCCAAAGAGGGTAGACAATATAATATATAATTCATTCCATATAACTGAAAGGATTGGCAGCTGATAACGCAATTTAAACAGTGAATCTTAAACAATAAAACAAGACATTATATCCTCCTCCTTTCGGAAGGTGCTCATCAATTTAGCTTAATACACAGTTTGCCACACAAGCAACTAACTTCCTTCTTCCACAGTTCTGCTTCTGTATGTCACATGAATTATGAATGTGTGTGTAAGTACACTTGTACGATCCTGAAACAAGATTTAAATTTAATTTATGCTCAGAATATCAATGCAAGTCCTCTTATCTAAACTCGTGTACAACTTAAAAATACAAGTTACAAAACTCGACTTGTTGCCCTTTGACAATCATCCTTCACTTCTACTCCACTTTTCACCCCATCGTCTTATGTTAGTGCTTTTACGAGATACATCATATGAAGAACCTAGCANTTCACTTCTACTCCACTTTTCACCCCATCGTCTTATGTTAGTGCTTTTACGAGATACATCATAAGAAGAACCTAGCACCAAAAACTTAAAAGGGCATACCTTCCGATAATCAAGTATTCCTTCAAAGGGAAGCTCTAGTTCATCACTAATAATAACAGGAATACACCCACTGACAATAGCATCAAACAATCTAGCAGATGATGGAGTGTCACCAGCTGGACATAGGCAATAAATAGACCTGATAACCAAAGAAGCAACTCACTTTATTAAAAAAGTAAAAGAAGAAAGGTAAACAGTGAACATTGTAAATTATGCAACTTGAAATTTACTTGCGCATGCCACTCTGAGCTGCTGCTTTTCCTGCCTCTCCAGCACTCCCCTCCTCTATAACTACACCATCAGCACCATTAAGTTCTGACACAAGTTTAGCACGTATCTTTCCTCCCTGAAAGTAAAACACATTAAATTATTTTGCACCTAGTGATGCACACAATAATCAAAAGCCAATCCAAATGTCAGCCAAAGAAGTAATATTATGAGTTAGGAAAGATGACGGAAGAAATCAAATCCTGATGGCCTACCAAGGAGTAATGTCATAGGCCTGAAGGATGTGATGATCAGAAACACTTAATAAAAGTCAACACAACAGCTTAAACCGAACTACCATGGGTCAGAGATGTGGGTTTGTCCAGTCTGCTCATTGTAAACATAGATCTAAGTATACGTCCTAATAACACGGTTTTCTATCAAAATTTACTCACAATAGCTCTTCAGATTCTTCTGATTTTTACTATCTCATCCAAGGATTGTCCAAAGACTTTTTAAGGTCAGTTATCCTCTGATTTTGTGACCAAAATGCGTTGTAATGTCCAGACATTATGACCACTACCATAATTTGACACCGCAAGTGATGATCACTTTGTTCTTAAAGAAATAATTGGTTGACACTTTACAGCATCATTTACTTTCTGTAAATTACAACAATTGTCATCAGATCCCATCTGGATATGTGTTGAAAGGTAACATATGGGTTTTCCCACCTATTAATTATCACAAAATGTGTCGATCTGCATGTCATCAATTATTTTTCAACCAATTCTCTGAAGTACTCGTGAATCTAACTTACTATCACAATCATCTTTGAACAATTTCACACTGCCACATCATGAAATCGTTTGCATCAGGACATTGAGAGATTTGTTTTTTTGAGGATGTAATTTTAAGTGAATATACATTTAGTTGCAGTCATGATCGAATCTCTCGAGGCTACAGTAGCCATATTGCAAAGAAGTATTTGGGGGAAAAAATTACTAGCTATATTGCAAGTCAATAAGACAAGCATAATGTCAAGTATACTTTCAACTAGAAAAAATAGTTCTAAGCTTATATACTACCAACAATACCACCATATCAAATGAAAAAACTCAATATAATTCAGTTGTCTGTCTTAGCCGAAAGTCTTACCGCATTTCTCTTCAGTCTTCCACGGAAAAATAGCAGTTTGCTTCTCTTAGATTCAATTTCTGACAAGCATTTTGCATCACACAGATCGACATTGGGGACATAGGGAAGTATCAGGTCTTTCTCAAGCCAAACTTGTCCAGGTTTGTACCTATAGGTTTAAGCATAATCACACACATTAGAAGCTACAATAAATTATATTTTTTTGGATGCATTTGCAACTTGAGTCAGTTATTGACCAGTTTCCTGTCGAGTCCATATCTGGTAGCAGCCAAATTGCATTCTTCATAAATCTGCGAACGGACTTGAACGACCAGGGATGATGAACCGGAAGTATGTGGTCTCTTCCTTCAGATCGTTTCCACGCAGGCTGCTCTGTGACCCACTTCATAGCTTCCTACAATCCCATGTGTTAGAACTTCAGAGCACACAGACAAATGCTATATTGTGTTAAAGACTAATGCTTTACCACATGAATAATATAAGTTCATGTGAAGTCTACAGGTGATCTCTGCTAGGCAAGTTATAACATTGCAGCTATAATTAACAGAAATCTCCATATAAAAAACACAACTAGAGGACCACAAATTTCCTCGTGGTTGTTAACTACAACAATGCAGAAAATGAGTAAAAGAATAAAAGCCCATGCAAAGAGGCAGATGCACATGTGGTCCACTGCCAAATATTTGGACTATGCACATGGTTAAACACATGTCACAAAAGATCATTCGTTTGAGTCTCTGTGTAAATCAAATTTTGCTCCATAAATCAAGCGATGAAACCAAGTTGAAGTAGCTTTCTGACAGCTGTGAGGTAACCACCTTGATGCAATACAACAATGGAATCCAGTTGGGGAAAGTGAAGATGAAAAATAATTTAGCAAGAAACACTCCTCATGACCCCGGTACTATACACATTGAATGATACCAGACACATCCAAACACCCAAACACCATGTAGAGTCGGTCCTCCACTACTTTCAGCTCAAGTTTTTCAAAAGAACAATAATAGTTACCATTGCCCAGTGGGGATGACATCCCTAATCCTCCATAAATAAACTACATCATCACAACATCAAGACAAAGGAATGCTAAGAGAATGTACTTGCAGGAGCCACCTTCAGGGTAATAACTTTTTTAGGTAAAGGTTACACTTTTGTCAGCCTATTTAAATCCAGTCTATCTTATAAAGGTATTTGTCCATCTGATCCAACCATCTTATTGAAGGCAATCAAATCTAACTAATTGTATCATATATCAATTAGAACAGTAATGTCAACAGACATACCAAATTTGTCGAAAAACTGAAAGTATCAAATAAACCAACAGCAAAAATCATAAATAGGATATCATAACATGATAGGCAAAATTCTTCATAACCCACCCCTACATCAGAATTATAACCATGTTTAAAATTACCCATCAGGTTGTCATAATTTCTGTTGGAAAAAAATCAAGAGCAAGAATTTTTACCCAACTTTGTACTTTTATCATATCATAATCTCTCTTTAAAATTCAAAATATACAGTTACCTAATCATTCTATTAAGTGAGACAAAAGAAAGACAAAGAAGAAAGGAATAAATAAGACGAGGGAAAAAAAAAAGTATCAAGGTCCTTGGGCACAATCAAGAGTCTAAGACCAACAACAAACCAAGGCACCATCTGATTGATGCTTGCCTAGAAACAAATGTTTAAAACATACTTATAGAGGGAGAAAATAATGTCAGCCAATGAGGACGCAACACCTCGCAAAGCATGTGATAGATTGTGCCTAGGATTTGAGGAATACCAGTCGCCAATGTCAAAACGTTAACCACAATAAGCCATAGATTTGTGACTAACCACAAGAGACAGACCCAAAAACTCAAAGGAAGACTTACAATAATGTCCAACCAACCAGCCCATCATTCCACACTAATGGTTCTTACATTCTTTTCGGGCTGAGCTGCTAACGACAATACCAAGCATTGAGGTGTGTCCAACCTTATGCATTCACAACGACAGGACCGACATCTCCACTGAATACACTCAAGCATTCAAGATGGGCTTACTAGTGGCTCGTCGCTACGGCCTATTACCACTACATAGAGCCTATCTCCTTGTGGAAGTTAGGGAATAGGTCAAAACATTCTCATATAGCTTGCTTCCAGGCACCAACATAGGAATACCTCAGGTGTTGAGGATTACATAATCTTTAAGGTAATCCAGGAACTTGGATTTTCGAGATCAATCCTTAAAAGGAAATCTCAAGAGTGTCCCTGCTTGTCTCGGTTTAGCAAGGCCCTAGTAGAAGGCTTAGCAGAGTTCTGCTAGGGGAGAGCATGTACCAGAAGCAACTCATCAAGGGAACCTCAATTCTTTTGAGAGATTACTCTCGCTAAGGAACCATCTAAGACGGAGCTTGAAGTTTTAAAGGATCCCATCATTAGGGAATGTAGAAGAATCAAATTAGGAAAGAGAATCCCACAAACCATCACTGGCTCTCTAATTGTTCTCCCACTAATTTGAAACACAATTCAAAAACACCGGTGAGACTCAAAACATGTAGTTCCCACACCTACTGAATAGGTTGCTACTCTACCAAAACACCTACTCACTCGAGCAAAACAGAGGATCATCAAGCCAACACTTGCTGCCTTAGACAATGTTCCTTTTGTTGACTGTTCAGCTAAAGGATGAACATAAAAAACCGTTTTTACCAAACCAATAGATGACATTAATAGTAATTATCAAAAACCAAGTGAAATACAAAAATATAAAGCTTTAATGTAGGCCTCGAAACGCACTCATACCCTATAAAGTGACTTGCACTGTTGTTTCTCCAACAAGAAGAAGCTTATTGTTGTGAAAAACGGAATGTAGAATAGGTCAGCCTCTTCCTGCTGATATACTCTCACAACACTCTTCAAAAGCCTTTCTGATTCCGGAGTAATCAAATCCACCCACAGCCAATAATCAATAGAATGCTGCACAAAGAAAAAGAAACAGAAATTTGAATAAAAAAAATTACCACAAAATCCTCAAAAAATCAAAATTAGTTTAATCCTCTAAAACCATACATTGTCAAGGAAAAAATTACTCTGAATTAGAAAACATATTACTACACCTGTTCGATGAGTCGGTGAACAGGACTACCATTAGACGTGAGATTTGAAGTCTCCCTATATGTATTTTGAAACAACCAAAGTAAATCGTGGGTGAATTTCGATGGCATCTCGTAAACGTAAACCCTAAGAGCTGAAGGTGCCAGTGGCGAGAATGCTGGATAGAATGATTGTTCGAAAAGCCTCTCAATCTCTCTCTTCAACATCAAATCATCCAACTTCTTCACATCCTCTTCGCTCACTGTATGCACTGTATCATCCGAAACCGTATGAGATATCTGATTCTTTGAGGTAGAGGTCAGGAATTCTTCGAGTGAAGCCACGAAGGAGTACTCAACTTTAGGATTGAGTTTAGAGATCTGGAAATCGTGGATAGGGCTCGTATGGTAAGGAGATGAGAACACGGAGAATATGGAGAAGAGAATAGAGAGAGCCAAGACAGCAAAAACGAATAAGCGGATCGAAGATCTGGTTTTAGGGTTTCCGGAAGTGAAGAAATGTCTTCCGGCCATTGGATTTGGCACACACAAATAATTATGCAGAATGGTTTCTTCTCTCTCTAGATTTGTTTTCAAGAGAGCTTACACTAGGAGATAGAGAGAGAAGAGCAAACGAGAGAGAGAGTGATCAATGTTAAGTCCAGAGAACCTGGTGCTGCAAAAGTTGGAGTCTCCAAACCGAAAGCTATATGGTGCACCGTTTGATATCCACCGAAATTAACTGTTTGATATCTACACATGTCAGAATAATAATTGAATAATAAAATTTGATCAAAAAATAACAATTAATAAATAATTGAATAACAATAAGTGAACAATAATAAATTGAATAACACAATAAGTGAATAATAACATCTAATTAAAAAAAAAAAACAATAACAAATAAATAATTGAATTACAATAAATGAATAATAATAAATTAAATAATACAATAAGTGAATAATACAATAGAACATGAATTTTAATTGTAAAATTTAAAATATTTGACATTTTATTTTTGATTGAAGAATTTTTGTTATAAGTATAACATTTTAAATTTAAAGAGTCTAAGTAATATATGTTTACAAACTTTGGATATAATTTATTAGGCGTACAAACTTTAGAGGGTCTGAGTGATTAAATGACAAATCTCAGGGGTCTGAGTGTAATTCTCCCTAAAATAATTTAAATTTTAATTATATAACAGACTTAATTAATAATTAATAAGTGTCAAATATATTTCTTTTTAAGTAATCAATTTGGATTACCAAACACACCTAAGATTCTTGTAATGCTTTGCCTTTCCCTCTTTCAGCGCGCAACAATCGGGGAAAAAAATTCAAGAAACACAACAATCGGCAAAAATAAATTCAAGAAACAAAATTATCAGGAAAAGGAAATTCAAGATACAAAATAAATGAGTTGAAGCCGCAAGAAAGGGATAAGCCTGAGAAACCAGCACTTTACTTATTCATAAGAGATAAACAAGACACTAATTCTATTTTCAAGAAAAATATAAGTATTTAAGCAATAAAAGCGATTGAACACAAGAATGAAACCATAAGAATCCAAATTTTATAGAAAAAGACCAATTAATAAACCTAAGAAAAGAAACACCAAATAGCAAAAGATTTCAGAAATCTTTAATCCACTCACCTTTTAAACGACGAGCAAGCAGAAACTCTACATAAATAATTGGACAATGGAGGCAGAACAGTTTCTTTCGAGATCAATGGCGACGGAGGAGAACCCTAGATCATTAGGCACGGTGGTCCGCTTCAACGACCACAAGGGCTCTGGGTCCATCAGATCCTACGAAGAAGACAAAGATCTATATGTCCACCAATCGGAGATCAAATCCGATGGCTTTCGAACTCTCTATGAAGGCCAAGAGGTAGAATTTTTGGTTATTCATGAGGGTAAAAAGACCAAGGCCATCAATCTCACTGGGCCAAACGGAGCCCCGTCGACAAACTAGGGGTGGTGGTCCAAGAGGTGGCCGCGGTGGTTATGGGTTTGGTAGTGGTGCCGGCGGTGGGTATGGATTTAATCGGAGGAATGGTAGGTCTCAGTGGTTGCAGCGTTAGTGAGCTCCAGTGAGAGAGAGACGTTTATCCTTGTTAAGAGAGACAGGCTTAACTTAAGTACAAGGGGTGTGTTTGTTTTAGGAGTGATCAGAAAAAGGGTTCTTTGAAACTTTTATACCTAATTAGTTTTATTTGGTAAAAAATATATAAAATAAAATATTTTTAAAAAAAGTATATAATTAAGATATAAATACGTAAATGACAATTTTAGAATTATTTAATTCAAAATCTCTTACTTTTAATGCACCTTGATTCATGTGTGTTGTTAAATGAACCTTGATTCATGTGTGTTGTTAAATGAACCTTGATTCATGTGTGTTGTTAAATGCACCTTGATTCGTGTGTTGTTAATACATATAAATATATATATATACATGTGTGTATATATATTTTATAAATAAATATATATATACATGTGTGTGTATATATATATATATATATATACTTGTTAAATCTCTTATCTAAAATTTTGAATTATTTTTAATGCACCTTAATTCATACGTTTTTTTTTAAAAGTAATTTATTTTTAAATTATATTTAATGCGCCTTGATTCATGCATTTTTTTTTTTTGAAAAGTAGTTTTATTTTCAAATTAATTTAATATCCAAATATTATAATAGTGTAACAATAACAGTGTAACAATAACAATGTAACAAAGACAGTACAACAATAACAGTGTAATAAAAATAGTGTTCAGTAGTTTTGTGCATGTGGTAACAAATTTAAAACAGAGATAGATTATTTTGAATGAAATTATATGAAACTATATGTTTGACAAAATGTAATAGTACAATATTTTGTGTAAATAGTTTGTTACACTATTTATTATTACATTGTTATTGTTATATTATTACACTATTCGGATATTAAATTAATTTAAAAATAAAATCATTTTCCAAAAAAACATGCATGAATCAAGATGTATTAAATATAATTTGAAATATATATATATATATATATATATATATATTAAAGTCCTCTCATAAAACTAAGAGATATTTAATGCACCACTTTTCAAAAAAAAAAACACATGGATTAATGGAGGCCAAAAAATGTCACAAAAAAATTAGTAAAATTCAAATTATGTTTTTCGATACAAATAAGTATCAAAATTAAAGACTTAATTATCCAACATTTTTTTCTGTGTACTTTTTTACAATTAACTCTAATTTGACGCACCTCATTCCAATTTACCCTTAGAAAAAATAATATTTGGCCTATCTTATTTCAGTTATACTCATATTTGGATATATATTTTGGGTTCAACACTACATACACCATCTTAAATAAACTCACATTTTTTATGGGTTTAAGATTTTTTAATAATTTAATATTTATATCATCATTCAATACTTCATCTAAACAAAGTATCGGATATGATAAATGTGGGGTCTATTATTTTTAATATTTAAACCAACTATGGAATGAGGAGACATTATCTCTATAATTAGTCCAAGACCCATAGATAAAATAGATAGATAGACGACTGATGAAATTTGGAAATGACTGAGATTCTTGAAAGCACATAGAAATAGAGACAGAGAGAGAAAGACTGACTCATCAGGAAGAGAGGGGAAAAGGAACAGAAAAGTTGTTGACAGAAACGGCGGTTGCTGAAACGCCGTGATGTGATGATGAAAATGAGTCATGGATGAATCGCTTGAGAATAAGTAAGTTTCTCATTTTGGTAGTGCTCGATTTGATCTCTTATGTGCAAGTTGAGTAAGTAATACCACACGTGCTGCTCTTTGCCGCCATTGAAAGTCTTTCCATGAGAAGACATCCACCCAAGCCCAAGCCCAAGCCCACCACCCATATCTATATTAACTAAAGTGGTCAAGGTTAAGTGTGTCTCTTAAATTTAGCAGTTTATGTGATGGGTAGATAACTCCCAATTCTGGTTCGAGTTTCACCAACCACATAATGATTTATTTTCACCACCTTTTTTAGGTTCTCCTTTCTTTTCTCTCTCTATCTTTTTGATTAGTATTGGGATGACCACATCAATTTGCTGAAAAGTAGAAAACAATCATCAGTTGTATGATCATCTTCTTCAGACAGCGACTTCAAACATAAATTTGGTAAGCAGAGCTGCTGCTTTCTCAAAGAGTGGGCTACATAGAATCCACTGATGTTCTCCAGCATACCACCTACATGGTCCTCAACAAAGAGAGACTTATGGTTTTTCTTTTTCTCCCACGACTTATCACAGTGAAGCTCAATCATCCACATTTCCTGATACAGCTATATTTATGGGAGTGTTTCAAAGAGCAAATGGTTCAAATATTTTTACACAGAATAATTAATATACAATAAATTTGAAAGACACAATGAAATCCCACTAAAAATGTGTTTTCTACAGTTAGACTCAACAAATTAAATTGGCATCATACAAAATTTTGTAGAGCAACAAGCCCCACTTCTAACGACCAGAAAAAAACAAGCCTGACTTCTGGGCTGAGCATTAGATGGCGATAGATAAATAAACTAACAAATACATTGAATCGTTGTTAAAGCATCTAAGATGTGTTATGCCTTAGATGCAATGACTCAACTATTCAAATAAAATCCACTCCTTTGACTTTCTAATTGGCAACATCTCTGGATTTGTGGGATTTTCATTTTTTCGAAGAACTCTTCTCTTTCTGCTCTGCATGGTCCTGGTCCTGTTCCTGCTCCACCATTACAGTTTTAGCCAATTGCTCCTCATCTGCCTCATTGGAATGCATCACAGACTTGTCTTCGATTTCTTTTTCCTCCATTTCTGGTTCAATAATAGACATTCCTGTAAGGCAATAGTCCAACAAGAATGTGCTTCTTTCCAACCTATCTATCCTACTGAAATGCCTCTGACAATATGGGATAAGACCTTTAAGGAGTTCTCCAATGCCTCAAATCTAAAACAATGCCAAACAAAATAGGAAAGCCATCATTCAAAATTTTATGATAGGAATCATTCTCAAGTTACAGAGGTTGGATGAATTTCCCAAGTTCATGTAATTTTCAGAGTTAAAGCAGCTGGGGGCAAATATATATCTACTGTTTTTCGTGCATGATCACGTTCTGTTTTCCTTTTTTCATTCATCATTTTTTTTTGGTTTTAAGTTCAATTCATGTGTCAGACCCTAATAGCGCAAAGAAAAGAGACGCCTAGACTTGTCAGTAAGCTGGAATAATCAGATGCAGTAGTCATGAAACAACTAATTACACTTGATCGGGTAATTTATCCTCAGATGAAAATTTTCTACAATGCAACGAGGTGCTCAACAAAAATCTTCGCTAATGAATGAACCAATCGAAATGTTGCTATCATTTTTTGGGAATACTTTTAGGGTAGTGACCATGATGATGACTAGAAAACTTCAAATCAAAGAACTTAAAAAAAGTTCATCTAGATCCCCTGCACATAATTTTGAAAGGAGGTCCCAGCAGAAACATATCAAGTCCCTATTAAATTATCATAGTGCATATACATGCCCCTAGACATCCTGTATAGTCCAAAGTCACCAAGACATAAGATAATATAACGTACTTGTGTGTATATCTGTAATTTGTGACTTGGAGAAGTCAATGTAAGTACCTCGATAATCTCTTTTGGAGGAAGCATGTTGAAAGCCCGGAAAAGCACAAACTGAGCAATATGGCAGAGCTTTGGCTTTGGATTCCATTCTCGAACGTATTCCAAAAGTAGATGATATTCCTCTTTGCCAAGAGCATGAAAAGCTTTCTCAATCTGACCTTCAACATGTCTCTTCCTACAGAGGATTTGGGTTCAGAGAAGGTAACTGCATGCCGCATAGACGACCCAAGAGAAGGGAAGAGAGATTTTTACCTGCTAATTTCTCCAAATAACTTTAAAAGCGTATGAGGCCTGCGTAGCTCAAAGGCAATTTAGACTTCTTTGGTGTAATCTACATCTGATACAACATTTTCTAGCTCTTGACCTTTTAAAACGCCTTCCTCCTGCATCACCAACACAACAATTCCATCAGTTAAACTAATAATATCAAACTGGACAACAATTCCATCAAACCATAGAATTGTATTTTGGAAGGGATGGAGGATGGAATGGGGATATACATATTTTTTCGATAGGAAACAAAACTTCCATTAAGAGCAATATACATAGTACATTGTAGCAGGCAAGGAGTAGATCGACCCCATGCGAAGACAACAAAAAAATATATCAGGAAAATTAAGTCAAAAAAAAAACTCAAAAAAAATTAATCTAACTATGGGTTGCTATAAAATCTAGATTGAGGGCATACAAAGATACATCCTCAAACTCTTTGCAAGCCCAAAGAAAAGCCAAAAACTTTCCTCTATCCCACAACATCTCCCCACAATTTTCTTTATCCTCAAAGATTCTACAACTCCTTTCCTTCCACACCACCCAAAAAATAGCCATAACCACACACTCCCACAAAATAAAGGCTTTTGTTTTTTTTCAAAGAAGCCATTGGATGTCACAAGTAAATCGATACATCCTCTTGGGAAAACCCAAGGCAAACTAAACTCCCGAAGGGCTTTTATACCACGTCATCAAGATCACTGGACATTGGAGAAAGAGATGATCGACCTTGCTGTATAATAAATTATATCCAGACCCCCTTAAGTTTAAAATATTATAATTAGACCAAAAATATTTCAATCAAAAATAAAATATCAAATATTTTAAATTTTACAATTGAAATTTGTGTTCTATTGTATTATTCACTTATTGTGTTATTTAATTTGTTATTATTCACTTATTGTGATTAAATTATTTATTTGTTATTATTTTTTTTAATCAGATGTTATTATTCTCTTATTGTGTTATTAAATTTATTACTGTTCACTTATTTTCAATCAATTAATTATTAGTTATTATTTTTTGATCAAATTTTATTATTCAATTATTATTCTGACATGTGTAGATATCAAACAATTAATTTCAGTGGATATGAAAGGGTACACCATACAACTTTCGGTTTGAAGACTCCAACTTTTGCAGCACCAGGTCCTCTGGACTTCACATTGATCATTGTCCCTCCCGTTTGCTCTTCTCTCTCTATCTCTTAGCGTCAACTCTCTTGAAAATGAATATAGAGAGAAAAGAAACCATTCTGCATAATTATTTGTGTGTGTGTGCCCTATCCAATGGCCAGAAGACATTCCTTCCCTTCCGAAAACCCTAAAACCAGATCTCCAATCCTCTTACTCGTTCTTACTATCTCGGCTCTCTCTATTGTCTTCTACATCTTTTCTGTGTTCTCATCTGCTTCCCATACCATCCCTATCCACGATTTTTAGATCTCGAAGCTCAATCCTAAAGTTGAGTACTCCTTCGTTGCTTCACTTGAAGAATTTCTGACCTCCACCTCGAAGAATCATATTTGTCATACAAATTTTGATGATACAGTGCATACAGTGAGCAAAGCGGATGTGAAGAAGTTGGATGATCTGATGTCGAAGAGAGAGAGACTGAGAGGTTTTTCGAACAATCAATTATATCCTACATTCTCGCCACTGGCACCTTCAGCTCTTAGGGTTTACGTTTACGAGATGCCATCGAAATTCACTCACGATTTGCTTTGGTTGTTTCGAAATACATATAGAGAGACTTCAAATCTCAAGTCTAATGGTAGTCATGTTCACTGACTCATCGAACAGGAGTAGTAATATGTTTTCTAATTTAGAGTAATTTTTTCCTTGACAACATATTTTTTAGAGAATTAAACTAAGTTTGATTTTTTGAGGATTCAGTGGTAACTTTTTTTATTCAAATTTCTTTTTCATTTTCTTTGTGCATCATTCTATTGATTACTGGCCGTGGGCGGATTTGTTTACTCCGGAATCAGAAAGGCTTTTGAAGAGCGTTGTGAGAGTCTATCGGCAAGAAGAGGCTGACCTATTCTACATTCCTTTTTTCACAACAATAAGCTTTTTCTTGTTGGAAAAGCAGTGGTGCAAGTCACTTTATAGGATGTGAGTGCGTTTCGAGGCATACATTAAAGTTTTATATTCTTGTATGTCACTTGGTTTTTTATAATTACTATTAATGTCATCTATTGGTCTAGTAAAAACAGTTTTTTATATTCGCCCTTTAGCTGAACTATCAACAAAAGGAACATTGTCTCATGTAGCATGTGTTGGCTTGATGATCAACTGTTGCTCGAGTGAGTAGGTGTTTTGGTAGAGTAGCAACCAATTCAGTGGCTGTGGAAACTGCATGTACCTTTGAGCCTCATCGGTGTTTTTGAATTGTGTTTAAAATTAGTGGGAGAACAATTAGAGAGCCAGTGATGGATTGTGGGATTCTCTTTCCTTATTTTATTCCTCTACATTCCCTAATGATGGGATCCTTTAAAACTTCAGGCTCCATCTTAGATGGTTCCTTAGCTAGAGTAATCTCCCAAAAGAAATTGAGGCTCCCCTAAAGAGTTGCTTCTGATACATGCTCTCCCCAAGCAGAATTCTGCTAAGCCTCCTACTAGGGCCTTTCTAAACTGAGCCAAGCAGGGACTTGATTACGTTTTTAAGGATTGATCTCAAAAATCCAAGTTCATGGATTACCTTGTAGAATAGGTAATCCTCAACACCTGAGGTATTCCTATGTTAATGCCTGGAAGCAAGCTATATGAGAAAGTTTTGACCTATTTGCAAGCTTCCACAAGGAGATAGGCTCTATGTAGTCGTAATAGGCCGTAGCGACGAGCCACCAGTAAGCCCATCTTGAATGCTCGAGTGTATTTAGTGGAGATGTCTATCCCGTTACTGTGAATGCATAAGGTTGGACACACCATAATGCTTGGCATTGCAGTTAGTAGCTCAGCCCGAAAAGAATGTAAGAACCATTAGCGTGGAATGATGGGCTGGTTGGTTGGACCTTTTTGCAAGTCTTCCACTGAGTTTTTGGGTCTGTCTCTTGTGGTTAGTCACAAGTCTTTGGCTTATTATGATTAACGTTTTGACATTGGCAACCGGTATTCCTCAAATCCTAGGCACACTCTATCACATGCTTTGTGAGGTGTTGCTTCCTCATTGGCTGACATTTTTTTCTCCCTCTGTAAGTTTATTTTAAACATTTCTTTCTAGGCAAGCATAAGTCAGATGGTGCCTTGGTTTGCTGTTGACTTGTTTGTCTTAGACTCTCGACTGTGCCTAGGGACCTTGATACTTTTTTTTCCTCATCTTATTTATTCCTTTCTTCTTTGTCTTTCTTTTGTCGCACTTAATAGAATGATTAGGTAACTGCATATTTTGAATTTTAAAGAGAGATTTTGATAAAACTACAAAGTTGGGTAAAAAGTCTCGCTTTTGATTTTTTTCCAACATAAATTGTGACAACCCTGATGGGTAATTTCAAACATGGTTATAATTCTGATGTGGGGGTGGGTTTTGAAGCATTCTGCCTATCATGTTATGATATCCTATTTATGATTTCCGTCGTTGGTTTATTTGATACTCCCATTTTTTTGACAAATTTGGTATGTCTGTTGACATCACTATTCTAATTGATATTTGATACAATTAGTTAGATTTGATTGCCTTGAATAAGATGGTTGGATCAGATGGACAAATACCTTTATAAGATAGATTGGATTTAAATAGGTTGGCAAAAGTGTAACCTTTACCTAAAAAAGTTATTACCCTGAAGGGGGCTCATGCAAGAACATTCTCTTAGCATTCCTTTGTCTTGATGTTGTGATGATGCAGTTTATTTATGGAGGATTAGGGATCTCATACCCACAGGGCAATGGTAACTATTATTGCTCTTTTGAAAAACTTGAGCTGAATGTAGTGAAGGACTTACTCCACGTGGTATTTGGGTGTTTGGATGTGTCTGGTATCACTCAAGGTGTATAATACCAAGGTTATGAGGAGTGCTTCTTACTAAAAACCATTTTTTATCTTTAATTTGCCCAACTGTATTCCATTGTTGTATAGCATCAAGGTGGTTACCTCAAGCACCTCACAGCTGTGAGAAAGCTACTTCAACTTGGTTTGATCACTTGATTTATGGAACAAAATTGACTTACACAGAGACTCAAACAAATGATCTTTTGTGACATGTGTTTAACCTTGTGCATAGCCCAAATATTTGGAAGTGGACCACATGTGCATCTACCTCTTTGCATAGGCTTTTATTCTTTTACTCATTTTTTGCATCGTTGCAGTTAACAACCACGAGGAAATTTGTGGTCCTCTAGTTGTCTTTTTTATATGGATTTCTGTTAATTATATTTGCAGTAATAGAACTTTCCTAGTAGAGATCACCTATAGATTTCACATGAACTTATATTATTCATGTGGTAAAGCTTTAATCTTTAACATAATATAGCATTTGCCTATGTGCTTTGAAGTTCTAACACAAAGGTGATTTGAGGAAGCTTTGAAGTGGGGGATGGAGCAGCCTGAATGTAAACGATCTGAAGGAAGAGACCACATACTTCTGATTCATCATCCCGGGTCTTTCAAGTCTGTCTGCAAATTTATGAAGAATGCAATTTGGCTGCTACCAGATATGGACTCGACAGGAAACTGGTCAATATTTGACTCAAGTTGCAAATGCATCCATAAAATATAATTTATTGTAGCTTATGATGTGTGTGATTATACTTAAACATATGGGTACAAGCCTAGACAAGTTTGGCTTGAGAAAGACATGATACGTCCCTATGTCCCCAATGTCGATCTGTGTGATGCAAAATGCTTGTCAGAAATTGAATCTAAGAGAAGCACACTGCTATTTTTCCATGGAAGATTGAAGAGAAATGTTGTAAGACTTTTGCCTAAGACAAACAACTGAATTATATTGAGTTTTTTCATTTGATATAGTGGTAATGTTGGTAGTATATAAGCTTAGAACTGTTTTTCATGTTTCAAAGTATACTTCACATTATGCTTGTTTTATGGACTTGCAATATAGCTAGTAATTTTTTCCTCCAAATACTTCTTCGCAATATTGCTATTGTAGCCTCGAGAGATTCGATCATGATTGCAACTACATGTATATTCACTTAAAATTACATCCTCACAAAAACAAATCTCTCAAAAGAGAATAAAATGTTCTGATGCAAACGATTTCATGATGTGGTAGTGTGAAATTACTCAAAGATGATTGTGATAGTAAGTTAGATCAACAAGTACTTCAGAGAGTTGGTTGAAAAATAATTGATGACATGCAGATTGGCACATTTTGTGATAATTAATAGGTGGGAAAACCCATATGTTACCTTTCAACGCATATCTAGATGGGATCTTATGACAATTGTCCTAATTTACAGAAAGTAAATGATGATGTAAAGTGTCAACCAACTATTTCTTTAAGAACAAAGTGATCATCTCTTGCAGTGTCAAATTATGGTTGTGGTCATAATGTCTAGACATTACAATGCAGTTTGGTCACAAAATCAGAGGACAGCTGACCTTAAAAAGTCTTTGGACAATCCTTGGATGAGATAGTAAAAATCAGAAGAATGTGAAAGAAAATAATTGTGATGTGAAGAGCTATTTTGATAGAAAACCATGTTATTAGGACATATACTTAGATCTATGTTTACAGTGAGAAGACTGGACAAACCGTCATCTCTAACCCATGGTAGTTCGGTTTAAGCTATTGTGTTAACTTTTATCAAGTATTTTTGATTATCACATACTTCGGGGCCTATGACATTACTCCTTGGTGGGCCATTAGGATTTGATTTCTTCCATCATCTTTCCTAACTCGTAATATTACTTCTTTGGCTGACATTTGGATTGGCTAGTGGTTATTGTGTGCATCACTAGGTGCAAAATAATTTAATGTGTTTTACTTTCAGGGAGGAAAGATACGTGCTAAACTTGTGTCAGAACTTAATGGTGCTGATGGTGTAGTTATAAAGAAGGGGAGTGCTGGAGAGGCAAGAAAAGTAGTAGCTCAGAGTGCACAAGTAAATTTCAAGTTGTATAATTTACAATGTTCACAGTGTACCTTTCTTCTTGTACTTCTTTAATAGAGTGAGTTGCTTCTTTGGTTATCAGGTCTATTTATTGCCTATGT